CATTTTCCAGGCTGTATTTAACATAAATAAATGAACGGATATCGACTTAACGCAATAAGTGAGTTGGCTCAGTCTTACATCTAAAACCCCTGGGCTACGTATTGAAGTATTAAGGATAGCGGCATGTATCTTGTAAAACGTGTTGTTTCTAACCGTACACGTGGTTCTTGTGGAGCGTATTCAAAATGCCATAATCCATTTTTATTCTTAATATTGCGAAACAATATAGATGTACTAGATACCTCACTTTTAGATTATTTCTGGGAATTGTCATGACATGGAAACAAAATGTTGATTATCGTCCATTGCTATCTTACTTTATCATTGGAGATATCTTTAGCTTCGTTCACGATATCACTTATTTGAGAGTGATCTCCCTTCGAAAAACAGATAAACTGGTTCCACTGTTGATACGCGCTGCGAACTTGACGCTTTTACTAGTTTACGTAGCCAGGAGCCCAGTCAAAGCATCAAGCTCCTTCCCAACGCGTGACACGTTGGGCCCCGTCTCTTGATATCACAAGTTGATGATGCGCATAGAGAGCCGGGAACCAGTTTACGGGCTATCGCTGTGAGGAGCTTGGAAAAAGCATGGTGGACTTTTTGATAGTAGGTCGTCAAGATATTGATAATGTCTATCCAAGCATTGCCATAGGAAAGAATACTTTCTGAAAATATCAAACTTGCAGGAGCAAACATCTATGGCTGAGTTTAAGACCTCAATCTTATTTCCTCGCTACCCTTGAAACATAGACAATAATAATAAGTGTATGTTAAAGCGTAAAACATTTGACTTTGAGAGTTACAAGTGATACAAATGCTGCAGACGGGAAGTGTGGACGGGCCACTTGGTGTCTGTTATGCACAGTACGGATTTGAGACCGCCGAGAACATTTTTTTCGACGAGGACCCCATCGCGGCTCTGGGCTAATACTGAGATAGATCTACTTGTTCCATAACACAGAACAAAGTTAGGGAACCCGATTGTAAAGACCCACTTGCTGATATGCATGCATTGTTCTAGGACTGTTGGAGGAATGTTTGAATAACTATTTTCCAAAGTATCTATCTATACTGTACATTTCCTTTCATAATTTGATGTGATTTCAAAACCTAACATGTTCCCCATTCCCTAGATTTTGTAGATTTCCAGGAAAGTTCTTATGAAGTTAAGCAGTGTACCTCTGAATATTGTAGTTTGTAAGTTATGAACAAATTCTTAATGGATAGCCAATTGCCTCTTCAAACAAGGTGAGTCACAGTATGGCTGAAATATTGCCGATGTGATGTAAAACCTTAACTCACTCACTCAAACAAGGTGCATGTTGGGTGTGAAATTAATTATTATGAGCATAAGTGCATTATCACATCTACCCATGAAGATCTGAGTTAGAATAGGTCTTCAACAACCAATGCTTATCGTAAAAGGCGACTATGCTTGTTTTAACAGGCAACTTAATTTGGAATCCTAGAGAAATCCCTATATTCTTAAACACAATATTAAACCCCATTTCACCTCACCTCACTTATGGTGTTTCAGTAAACATGTCCAGCGCACTACAGCGGGTGTTGCAGCAGGCTGCTGTCCAGGCTGCAGTACCATCAGGGAGTCTTGCTTTCAGGTGGGTGGGACTATCACTTGACATAGGTATATATGCACATACTAACATAATCCCACATTCATGTACATTAATGATTATCCCCTGCCCCAACAAAGGTGGCAGAGGATATAGAAACAGGCTTTGTCCGTCTGTCACATTTCGTTTCCGGAGTAGAGAACTTCAAAGTTATTAGCGATATCTTTATGATACTTACTTCACACATTCACCATATAATGTAGATGTTCCCTTTGCTATTTATGATTCCTCTGAATTTTTTTTTATTTTATTTTATATAAGTTTTATAAATTTGTACTTAGTGCCTGAACTGAATGAAAGTAGTGGGTTTCATTTCCGGAGCAGAACTAGAAAATCATTTAAGAGATGTATCTAAGAAACTTGGTAAACACATTCACCATATAGTGTAGATGCATGTGCTACCTATGATTTCCCCAATTATTTTGTTTTTATATAAATTTTATAAATTTGGACTTGATTTGATTGGAAGCAATCTTAATTTTTTTACCTCAGTTCTGTTATGTGACTCTCTATGAAACTTTGTACAATATCAGTCTGAGGCTGTTATAGTGTCTTAACCATTTACCTTACTCTGGGGCGACTATGCTTGTTGTAAGAGGCGGCCAACGGGATCAGGTGGTCAGGATCGCTGACTTGGTTGATGCATGTCATCGTATCCCAATTGCATGGATCAATGCTCATGATGTCAGTCACTGGATTGTCTGGTCCAGACTCAATTATTTACAGACCGTCATCATATAACTGGAATATTGCTTAATGTGGCGTTAAACAAACAAAACCTTACTCGGGTAACTAGCCCGTAATTGGAGGGCTGCAACAATACCTGCCTGTATGACAATGCTCTACATTAACAGTTCATGAAAATGTCTGAATGAGTGAATTGTGCAGTGCTCAAGTATAGCCTTGATATACTGGAAGATGATTATAACCTTTGTTTATAATTACTGTTTTACTAAAGCAACGTTTTGTACAAAGTTTTATGGAGATGCTCTACAGTAGCTCTTGTATTCAACCTCTTCCACAAGCAGGTGGACAATCTGATAATTGACAATGTCACATTTGATTGCACATATCATTGTCTTTTATAGATGACTTCGTATTCTTGTTAGTTTTTCAAACTGTTCAAAGCATCTGTACATGAACTGTTGTTCAATTAGATAAACTAAGTATGAATGTTTTGTGAAACAATATGGTGTATGGTCATCGGGAAAGAAATAAGTCAACGCACATGATCTGTAGGTACTTGGAGACAAATATATTAAGGATCATATGTCCCCAGCAACCTATGGTTCTCATAAGAAGTAGCTACCCTGTTGGGACTCTAGGTTTAAATTAGTCCCGTGCAACCTATGCTGGTTGCTGGATTGGGTGGTCAGGCTTGGTGACTTGGCAGGGATAGAAATTAGCACAAGACAGCTAGAATGAGACAATTTCACTAATGTTAAAGCTATTCTAAGAGCTAGTAGAATTTCAAAAGTTTTGAAGGTGTTTCTACATGTTATCACTGTTCGTGCTAGTCGACTTTCTTGGTTAATCCCTGGTTTAATGGATGTCATTGTATCCAAAGGGGGCACGGGTGGCCCAGTCGTCGAAGGCGCTGCGATTCGCTGTGCAGAGTTGCGTCCCTTGGGCACGCCAGAAACCTATGGTTGTGGGTTCGAATCCTGGTTCACCCCGATTATGTTTCTAGGTTTGTCAGCACCGTGCTCGTGTGTTTCACCGAAGTGGTAAACGTCTGAGACCTGCATCACTTCGGGCTTTCCTCCCACATTAAGCTGACACGCCGTGATATAACTGCAATACTGTTAAAAGCGGCGTTAGACCCAACTCACTCACTCACTCACTGTATCCAAATTGCAAGGATCAATGCTTATGATACACCGCTTGTGATACACCAATTTATCTCATTTATATCAACATAGAAGCCACTTTATAAGGTTGATGCATCATATTTGTTAAGGTGCTGTGTGTGTGTGTTACAGCACTACGGCCTGTCTGCATGAGATCAGGAAGATGGCCCGGATGAGGGTAGTGGACAACAGCTCACTGGGGAAAGCTGCACTGGCCTCAGGAAAACCACCTCGCGTCATTCATGTGTACAACAAGAAGGAGGTTGCAACCATTGGAGACAAAGTTCTCCTGGCTATCAAAGGGCAGAAGAAACGTGCCTATGTTGTGGGCGTGAAACAGAAACAGAGAGCTAACGTTCCCCGATTTGACAGTAATAATGTTGTGCTGATAGAGGACAATGGTGCCCCCACTGGCACCAGGATAGCTGTACCAGTTCCCTCCGTGTTGCGGGGGAAATCAGGGGACTTTACGAAGATTCTCTCCATCGCTACTAGATTTGTTTAGATTTTCGTCAGTAATGATGATAGTGTAGCATGCAGAATGTATGTTGAGTGAATGATAAAAAAGATTGGTAAATCAAAACATTTTTTTGTTCTTTAATGTTTTATGAATTATTATTCCTCCTCAGCCCCATTTCATCAAGTGATTCTAACAATACATACATCGTCTACTTGGGTTTGTTTAGGGGTGTGGTGATGTAGCAAACTATCTATATATCACGTGTTGCAATTGTTTGCCTTACGATTGTACTATGTAGATACTAGATTGGAAATTTAAAAAGTTGATGGTATTGTCAATAGTATTCACCACAATCAAAAGTTGCAATTAGTTATATAAGTACACTCAAAGGCAAAAGTTCTTGTGTTGTGGATTCTTTTCACATACAAACTTACTTCACAGTAACTTTTGCCTTTGTATATATAACATTCATTGTGTCAGAAAACTCAGTTTTTACAGTCTAATTTCAAACCTGTTATGTTGATAAGCAATGACTGACAACGTTGGATTAGAGTTACTTCCCTTTGGTTTGAGTAGCAAAAAGGGAAAAATATATGGTCAACTTTGACATTGTCGGCAATACTTTATTCATTTTTGTCACTGATAAGTATAATTATCAAGCCTAAAAGTTGGGTTCATACTATTCCAATACTATCTCATAGTGAAAATAGCCTCGATAGTTGCCCCTAGTTTGTTTCCAATTATCTCCTCCATCCTCCATGAAGACATATGGCTGGTATGTCGTGTAGTAGTTTTCTTTTACCTACGGGGTATCCAGGTCTTTTACCAATGAAAACAGGAACAAACATTTGTGAGCATTATATTGGTTCCCTTGACCCTAACCTTCTTACAGATGGCCATCATATATCGCAGGTAACTGATCACGTCACCATTAGTATTCTGGTAATCAGAAGTATTTAAAACATAACTCATTCAATTTCTCTCACAAGGACAGAGAGAGTTTTTTTATGTTTCAAAATCTTGTCCAGTGATGAAAACAACGCAAGAACACAGTGAATGACAGTGAATTTATTCCTGGCATGGGTATACAAGCACTAACAGCTGGGACATTCTGTACACATGTGGATTGCCTGTTATTTGCATGTGATATTTTAGTAAGGCATAATAAATACAACAATTAATTTCTAGTCTTAGACATCTGATGCCCTTCATTAAGATACACCTGTTCATTGACAGATAAATCCTCTTTGATCATGTCCAAAGTCATCAAATTAGGGCTGTAATGATACACTGTCTAGATACAATATATATCTTAATGGTAAGGATGCAATGATCCATAAACACTCTGCACTTGTCCTGTTACCATGGTGCAGTATACCATCACCATCACCATCTAAAATCAGTGGAGGCCCAACCAAAACATGCTTTGTACATTTGAATTAATTAAAGTGGCTTGAGAACACTTGGACATACTGTATGTGTATATATGGTATACCGTTTCCAAAAGACATACATAAGAGTGCCAAGAGGGAGATTTGAACTTGTTTCTGACTTCCTTGCCAAGGTGATCTGGAAACACTGAATTCCTGCCAGCTTCCAACACTATTCTGGATTCAAGACCTGAGCCCGGCCTGTTTCAAGACATTCCACAGTGACACTATTCTGGACATTCTGCACTAATAATTTCTAGGGTCTGTTACTTATTGCACCTGGCACTTATTTGACCCATTGTCATGCCTTTTTGATTGTATCCTAAAACTGTATTTAAAACTAATTTATTGATTATTCATTGATCTTATGTGGTCATTTACTGACCTCACAATTTAATTCTGTACGAACCTATTCCTGGATTACACCTTTGCATTTCAATTTGGGAATCACCTCATAACAGTATATAAATGTATTGTATTGTATTGTGTTGTTGTGTTGTACATGTATTGTATTGATACATGACCTCATGATACTTGTATAATGGTAAACTAAAACAGCAGTATATCATTACAGCCCTAATTAAAATTGTGAATATATCATGACCTAAATACGTTGACACTTTATAAATTTACATTTTTTGTCAAAATAATAATCATGTTTCATTACGTAAATCATGTTTTCTAGTTTACATGTTTTGAGAAATAAAATTATCTACATTAAATTCTATTCACAGCAATGACATATAAGTTAACATAATCTTAGAAGATTATTCCATATTGCTAAGGCCCCTACAAGTCCCTAGCCTGAGCACAATCATGGGTAACAACACGTGTACAAGGTGTGTTCAGCTGTCCAGTAATGTCTGCACTCGGCTAATGCTCTTCGTGAGGAACTCTGGTCCGCCTATCGTCTCTTTTATCACATCTGCAATCGTCTCTTTTCTGAAAGTAATAGCAGTGGTGGTGGAGGACAGTTTTGTTTGTATTTTGTTTGTTGTTTAACGCCACACTCAGCAATATTCCAGCTATATGATGACGGTCTGTAAATAATTGAGTCTGGACCAGAAAATCTAGTGATTGATGTCATGAGCATCGATCCATGCAATTGGGATCGATGACATGCATCAACAAAGACAGCGAGCCTGACCACCCGATCCCGTTAGTTGCCTCTTACGACAAGCATAGTCGCCTTTAACAACAAGCACAGGTTGCTGAAGGCCGTTTCTAACCCGGATCTTCACGGGGCGGTTTAGGAACCAAGCCATGCATTATTTCAAACAGAACTCTGTACAACTACACAGTCTTTCTTCATACCAAACCTGATGATAAATATTTGAGATGGAGGAGAAGTGCTGAATATAACTATAGAATTGGTCCTTTGCTTATGTCCTAACCTACAGGTGTTTGTTCAAGTTAACTGTGGTTTGTGGTCAGCTTCTGTGACTGATTGTGTGTCATACTTTCAGTCATTGTCTGCCTTTCAGTCGCAGTGGAAATCATTCACTCACTTCACTTTCTAAATTCTAACTCTTGAACCACCAAACAGTTAAAGTGAAACTTGATTGAAGTTAGTAAGCTAGTATGAACCAACAGCAAAGTCAAGACTGGTCCCTGTCAGCAATCCAATAACAACATCCGCAGATTTCTTAACTCACGTTATCGTTCCTATGACAACATCCACAGAACAGTCCACTGGTTTACAGGAGGAGGTGCTAGGCTCCAACAGGAAGGTGATCACCACCTTCCGTACCCGCCGTGTGTTCAGGAACGAGACACTCACACTGGAAGGAGAAGGATGCCATCTCAGCCAGCATCATACAGGAACAAGCACAATGTCAAACATTTCCTCCATTAACCTACCGGTAACAAAATCACAGAAGCATTCTGTGCCAAATACATTTCTTTCAACAAGATACAACTTTGTGCGTGTTTCCTCATTAAATTTAGTCTTATCATATGGCAGCGTTGGTAATTAAGCATGCAAATCCATAACCCTACTGTAATGTAAAAAATACAGTCTCATTATGACATTTCGTCCGACCAATCAGAACATCACTTACCAGATCAAGAAAGGGACAGTAGGAATGTGTTTTCCAAATATGCAACCTCGAAAAGGTTAACACAGGGTATGCTGAACGATGACCGATTCCGATCATCAAAATCATTGTCTATCGCTCGTTTCAATGGGATAAACATTTGAAACGGGAGACTTCCCAAAGCACGTGGGAAATACTGTCATACAATCTCGGCCATCTATTAGACATATCCCGAAGGTTCTTTTGTTCCACTTTCAAATTTTGAATCAAACACTGTCAAAATATTTTTTAAAGTGAGTCTGGAATGGAAGTCACCCGTTTGAAACTAGTGCAGTAAGCTAGAGAAAGAAGTTTTTGGATTGGCTAATGTCAACTGATTTTTTGTCAATTCACTCGTCGGTCAAAGTTCTCGAAAGGTTTGTTCTGACTTGACTTGTAACGGAATGTCCTCATATCTTTGTTTAGCAGGTGGTGAGAACTTTGATCTGATTCTAATATAGATTGGGTTGGAATACTACCAGTATCAGCAGAATCTTTACCAAAAGGAAATTTGACAAGACTAGGGCTTGTATTTGGGCCTTAAGTATCAAGACTGTAGAAGTATTTTGACATTCTTTTCTATGTCGCATAGCCTAGTTTGTATATGTAGAAGTAAGATTGTAACTCCAGCATCTACACAACAAAGTACGACCACAGACACAGGATCATCATCTATTACATACCAGTAATCATTAATGGCCACTTTGTGCCTGAGGTCAGCATCACTGATCTGGGTTGCGAGATTTCGAGCCCCTGCTGTCAACCTAGAGATCTCATTCAGCATCTGTAGGTGGAAACATTGCAGCACAAGGTTATTGAAATAGCATATGCAAATAATAACTGAATTTTCTGCAGTTCGTTGTCGGAGTGGACCACATGGCCAACTTGCCCTACCTGTGGTAGCTTATCCCTGCTGGAGTAGCTGTCCCTCAGTCTTGCACAGTCCACACCGTCCACAATCAGACGACCGGCTAGGTGCGACCACGGTGAAGAGGAATCTAGTGACAATTATGGAGTAGGAATGTCATCGTATATCGCAATATCGATGTATCAATACATTTTCAATGTTCTTACTGTATCAATACAAATTTATGAATATCAAAACTATATTATTAATTCAATGCCACAACCACTGTTACATTTGTTAAGATAACCATGGTTAAATAATACAACGCAAAAATTCATACCTAAACATTTGACTGATCAGCCTAGTTCATAGTTAGCATTCAGTTGCTTAATTGAAGGTCTAGATAGGAATATTTGTATCTATACACATACAGAATAACTAATTTTGTTATTAATTGATATATCGATATATTATGATACTTTTGAGTCATGATATCAATGCTAAACTTTCAAATCAATGACACCCCTGGTGTAGAGCAAAATATATCAACAACCTTTCCTGATGAATAACGATATTGATAAAACAATCTGTTATTTTGAATACTTCAGTAGCTACAGCCAAGTGTCTGATGAGTAGCGGTACCTGCTAGATGCGTTGTGAGGACCACAGAGTCTACTGTCTTGTGTTGCACCACGTCGTACGTGACAGACATCTCCACTCCGCCGTACAGGAACAGGAATACATCTCGGGCAGGACTCCGCTCCTTTACCCTCCACTCCAGCACCCTGCAACATGGGAGGAACACCAGGTGTTGGGAGACATGATAACATAAAATGTTGTACCACTGTAGCTCACCTGGATATGTAGACAATAAAGTTAGCCACTTAACAAAAGTTGCTGTCAGCATTGATATTCAATCATTTTCATTGTAAATACTGTAGTAAAGCTAACACTTAAATCCATGATTTGAACAAAACGTGATATCATCATAAAAGTTAAAACATAGAGGCCAGTTCAAGTTTGGCTCTCTCATTGCGAGAAGAGTAACTGGGCCAAATATGCATTGGGAGAATTTAAGAGCATGGTCACCAAAAATCTATGAAAAATGGAACACATATATTGAGCCCCACTACCAAGCATGCTAACTACACATGTACCAAATATCATTACATTTTGTACAAAAATGGCAGAGAAAGGTCCATAAAGAGGTTTTTCAATATCATTATAAGGCTGCCTAGGTGGCCATAATGAAAATCGGATTCTAACATCACTGGTGGAGACAAGCAATGGTGGGTCCAGTGGTTTCTGAGAAGAAGACTACAACAGACAATACACGATAGACAAACATGCTACTACATAAGCTCACTTGACTTTCAGTCAGGTGAGCTAAAAGTATGAACAGGGCATTTGTTTTACGGTTCAACCTAAGATACAACCATGACACTGACTGACCTGTGGAGTGCCCCAAGCCTGTGCTGTAGCCTGTCCAACTCGTCCACTCCATCAGCGGCGGCAGTGTGTGTGCCCTCCAGCATCTGTAGCTCCTGTCTCTGGCCTTCCGCCTCCAGGTCCGACTGCCTCTGTCTCAACTCACTGTGCTGCCTGGAGATACAATACATACACAGCACTGGCTTACACACCCTGACTGCAGAGACAGACACAGTCATTGTGCTAAGATCATAAATCACATACTTTACCATAAAGATCCCATTGTGGATAACACACCAGGACCATTTTGAAATTTGTTTGTTTTTTGTTCATGTGCGACACTCAGCAATATTCCAGCTATATGACGTCGGTCTGTAAATAATCGAGTCTGGACCAGACTATCCAGTGATTGACATCATGAGCATCGATCCACGCAACTGGCATATAATGATATGTGAGTCTAACCACTCGATCCGTTAGTTGCTCCTTAAGACAAGCATGGGCTGCTGAAGACCTATTCTAAATCAGATCTTCACGGGTAACCATTGTGAAGCCTCCTGTTTCATCAGACTAGCCTATTCTTGTCAGGTCATTTGTCTGCTGCTCAAGTTCTCAATTTGACAACTGATATTAAATGACATCATGTAGGCAGACCAATAAACCACTTATATAGTGACATGCGTGCATCTCTGAAACCACTCTGGCTACAAAGTTAACTTTGCATTGATGATCCAAGTATGTGGTGTCTATAGAATTCAGATCCTATTTTAAAAATGGCAGCCTTATTGTAAATATTATTTTCGTCCATGGAGACATGTATGCATGTTTTGTGTTATTCCATGTACATGCATATTGCTGGCATGTGGTACAGAATGTTCTGTGCTTTCAACTTTTATATTTATCGTTACCCCAATCTCATTAAAATCAGACCTTAGTTCTCACTACTGCTAAACAAAGAATTGAAGACATCCCATTAGGGGTAACATCAGAACGACCAATCAGAGCGTCGCTTACCAGATCATGAAAGTGACAGTCGGAATGTGATTTCTAATCATACCACCTCGAAAACTTTAACACGGGGTATTGTGAACGATAGTTACGGGTTAAACGACAAAATCCATACAATCTAGACCATCTATTAGCCATTCCAGAATGTTCTTTTGTTTAGGTTTCAAATATGTAATCGAGAATTTGTCAAAACATGTTTTGAAGCGAAGTCGCCGATTTGAAATTAGTGAAGTAAAGCACGAGAAAGCTGCCTTCTGATTGGTCATTCCATTGGTCAGTCAGAGTTCGCGCAAGGTCGGTCTGACCTGACCCGTAATGGGATGTCCTCAGGTCTTTGTTTAGTGTTAGGGAGAACTAAGATCTGATTTTAATGAGATTGATCATTACCCTGAATAGTGAACCATTATAATTAAATGTTCCAAATACACCACAAAATGGCAGTTGAGCTACAGAGCTTTTAACATTCATAAACCTTCTAAAACAAAGATCTTGTAAAAAAATAAACCTCTTCATACTAGATTTACATAACATGGACTATTCAGGTTTCACTGCATGTCAACTAGATTTTGTGAAAATTAGGAACAAATCACATCAGTGCCAATAAAAAATTACTCGGGCTTGTCCGGGATTCGAACCCGGGACCTCTCGCACCCAAAGCGAGAATCATACCCCTAGACCAACAAGCCAAGCTGTGGGAGAGATCTGAAGTGTTTTACTTACACATATCTAAGATCAGTACGTTGGTTTGTTTTCCATATTTATCCTTAAAAAATGGATTATTCTGGTACATGTATACCGATTTGGATTTGGCACAATTTCAACATTTAATTTTATTACAGTTGCTATTTTATAATAGGCAACAGCATGATATGGTTCTCCTTCATGTCAGTTTTCTCATTGAGATAGCATAAGCCAACAAGCACCTGTCAGGGGACTCGTATATCAATGGGCTATTTATAGACACAGTCAAGCCCAAAACATTCCTCTGTTTCCAGCTTGAAAGCTAGGCTACTTAACATCACGTTTAAGCCCTGCTATGTGGGGCTATGTGGGGCTATAGTGTACTGATCTATATTTTACTGCTGGTAAAGAATAGCAGCCTTGTGATGCAGGGCAAACAAATTATTTTCCTGTTTCTATTGATGTCTCCCTAAGTTTTGCAAAGTCACAGCAACAAAAATCTGATGCAAGAACACTCAGTATAAACCTCTACAAGTAATAAGGTTTTGTGTTAATATAAATTGAAAACCTTGTTGTGCAAAATAAAACAAGTTACTGTCTAGAACATGTAAAATCAACCTTCAATTTAATGTCATGATTCTGATGTTTACATTGAAAATGTTTTCCTAGATGATCGACATCAAACAAACAATCTCATTGTCCTCAAAATAATATCCTCTGTTCATAATCAAATGGCTCCATGAACCATCTCACAAATAAACTTCTTTATGTGTCTTATGTCACAGTGAGTTGTTTCTTACACTACACTGAATAATACTTCAGGTACATCCCAGCATCTCAGCTTCATGGAAGAGGCAAACTTTGTGATGCAGCTCCTCGACATTTACTACTTTGCTGACATCCATGGCATAGGGAAGGGTAACCAAAAATCATAATGAGGACAAATATCGGATTCAAACCCAAATTCTGTGGATTCTGGCATATCCAAGGGACCACCTTTTCTCACAACCCAGGCAAGTTACTTTTTGCACTACTTCAGGTTCTTTGTATGCCAACCATGTTTGTTTGAGTTTTTTTAGTTTGGTCAGCAGAAATACAATTTTATTATTTTTTTTATTTTATTGTTTTTAGAAAGACGCACCTGTTACATAAATGGGCTTATGCCCAGGGTAGCAGAAAGCCCATGACATAAAGCACAACTTATCAGTACATCTTACTTTGTTGTTTTTTTTACAGAAAATAACATACTTCTCACTCACACATTCACTCTTGTTTATATATCATATTGCAGTTTAGGAAAGTACATGGTCTCAAACATTAAAATCTTAAGTACAAAACTAAAATTAAATTGAAAGCTGCTCCTCATTTTCGAAAAGTTGATGATACAGCATCCAAGCACCATAGAATTTCTGTTGATTACCTGTCTTGAAAGCAATATCTTTTTCAATGTTGTATCGTGAAAAAGCTTCCTTTTTATAAACATGAAAATAAGGTTTTGTATATTGGAATTTGCATCTATAAATATAGTATTTTGCAATTAGTAAAAGTAAATCAAACACTTTATCTGTTTTTATGTTCTCTTTAACTCCAAAAAGTATCAATTCTGCACAAAATGTCATATTATAAACATGAAAGCACTGGTCGATCCACAATGACATTTCATCCCAAAATTGTTTTATTACATCACATTCCCAAAACAAGTGAGTAATTGTTTCCTTTTCATTGTGACAGAAGAAGCACAAATCATTCTGAGCATAATTGAGTAAATACAGAGAAGTATTAGTGGTGAGAATTCTGTTTGGGATTAATTTGGGAGACGCCCTTCTCAAACCAGCATTTCAAGAAAAATGATTTCCTATTAATTTTAATATTAGGGTTATAAAAAACTGGTTCAGTTAAAAAACTACTGAAAGATTCTGGCTTGATTTTCTTATCAAGCACTATAAATGACTGAAAACAACTTTTCCAAAACTCATTACTTATCAAAGATAATTTTCTTTAAAAAAACGTCACACCAAACTCACCAAGTTTACACAAATAAGGATATGTAGATTTAAATAGGTGCTTCCATTTTTGATCACCTGAGGACACAAGTCTCCTTATCCATGTGGCCTTAAGAGATGTTACATTTGAAAAGATATTCACCATACCTAAGCCCGCTTGCTTAACAGGTTGACAAACTTTAATCCTCTTTACTTTGTCTCGTTTATCACTCCAAAGAAATTTAAAAAGCATAGCATTTAAAGTAACAAGAAAATCATTTGGGGGAGAAATACAAATTAAAATAGCTATTAGAAAAGCACCCATAAGGAAAATAATGACACCAAACTGTTTCATAGCAAAAAGACGTATCAAGAAACTTGCAGTATACAATGAGTGGTATAAAAATCAAGCTCTGTGCTACCTTACTATGAACTTGTTTTTCTGAATTTGTGTTGTGTTGTGTTGTGTTGTGTGTTGTGTGTTGTGTTGTGTTGTGTTGTGTTGTGTTGTGTTGTGTTGTGTTGTGTTGTGTGTGGTGTGTGGTGTGGTGTGGTGCGGTGCGGTGCGTGGTGTGGTGTGGTGTGGTGTGGTGTGGTGTGGTGTCAGCTAAGTATGAAAGTTAGTTTCAATATAATATGGCTCGGATATTGAAAATTGAATTTGAGCCTCAGATTCAGGTGATGTCAGTGGTGAGTACAAACATGTCAAGTTTCAGCTTCATTGGTCCAGTCATTTTTATGAGAAGATCTTTACAGACGACACATAACTCTGGACAAGCAGGCCATGACACAGCTCTCTTGACTTTCATTAACCAAAGAGCTAAAACAAATCAGGCCTCAACTTCTTAAGTCGGTTCTAAGCAGAACTAGATTTTTTTCTATAACAAGTCTGACATTCAGACAGTTTGGCTTATGGAGGATTACAGGTCACCTGGTTGACCAGCATATCCTGACATTCAGGAAGTAGTGTGATTGTGGCAACTAGAAGACCTTTTCATGTTTCATACATAACATACAGTTTCTGTTGAATTACGTTTCATGCACAATACGAATCAAACATCAATCAATCAAAGTCATAAGATCTTTGTAGGTTGCATTAACTGTTAACCAATGACCATTTATCAATCAAGCAAACAATACGTTCTTCTTTCACCTGGAGACATGTGAGATGTAAGTTATATAACAGTGATTCCATGCACAAGGGTGAGTTACAGTCAGCCACCAGTCTGCTTGTCACCAGACAAGTAAAACACTGGAAGCTGTTTCCATGGCTACATAAATCATTCGTACTGAGCTTTACACAAAAAAATGGTGCAAAATAGCAATATGGTTGCCATGGAAACAAAATATCATCGAATGGAGAAATGAGATAATCATGCCAAAGTTTCAGTTATATTTTTTATTTGGTCTCACAAATGGGAATTAAATAAAATTCAGACATTTCTGAGGCAAGGAGAAAGAAATATAAACATAATTCTGATCCCCCCAAAATGACAAAGAGCACACGCACAATCACACACAACCGCACACACACACACAAAAATGACTTGACACTCAGACACAGTATGCTGACTCCGAGCTGAACAGTTCTTGTTTTAGCCCCTAATGCCAGGCACCAGACAGGGTAACAACAAGTACATTCTTTTAACATTTTATGTATGACGTTTCCGTGGATTGAACCCTGATCTTCCGCTCTCCGGGCATACGCTCTACCACAAGACCACGGAGGCGGTCTAAATCCTATTGAACAAAACACCATAGAAAGTCTTTACCTTAATGCTAGCGCCTTCTCCTCTTCACTCTTCCTCAACTCTGAAAATAGTAAATATATTTATATCACTGTCCTACAGCCATGATGGCAACTAATAACACTGGAAACTGAAACAAGTGAGTATGGTTTTACGCCGCCTTTAGCAATATTCCAGCAATATCATGGCAGGGGACACCAGAAATGGGCTTCACACATTGTACCCATGTCGGGATTCGAACAGGGGATGAGCGAACGCATTAACCACCAGGCTACCTGACCGCCCCTACTGAAACAAGATCTATGTGGGGCTGGTGGATCAGTGAATTACGTTTCCTTCTTCGCTCTCACAGAAGCATATACAAAGATATCGGCATGATGAGATTCATAAACATCTTCAGAAACCTCAGAAATATCGATATTTTTCGTTTTAAAATGCTAGGAATACTCTTTAGATTTTTGCAGACTGTAAACCAAAGGCTTACATGAAAATGTACCAAAGGTTTACACTAATCCAGGAAACAGTGTGTCAAACATGAATGATAGGCACTACAATGAGTTGTATGAGCTATGTGCAAATGCATGTAGGCTTCCACGTCCATTCCAGCCCAAACATGCATCGAATCAGATTTATGTCTCATGATGTATGAGGTAAAAGAGTACTGTTTATTACCCACGTGGTGAATATACAAGTGGTAAGATACTAAATCCGTACATCACACGTGTTGTACAAGGTTGACCTCGTTTTGTTTCGTTTGATTGGATAACCGGTACCCTTATCACACCTGAATTACTTTTTGCATTCATAAAAACATTACGAGACGTCATTAACTTTTACAACTACAAGGCAGAACTAAAGGAATCTCATGAATGCAAACCAAACAAGACAGTCACACTCATCAACTTCACTTTGCATTCTATATTCGTTATGCATACAGCTAATACAGACGTTATATACACGAGCTACATGTATATCCATTGCAATGTACGACTCCTGATAGATCGAGGGTCTCTATGAGCGTGACACACCCGACCACTTTCGCAACTTTCAATTTGATTTAACATAAAAGGTTAAGCATGGTGAAATGATGTCAGTTTAAACTATCTGGACAGATATGTAGACTTACGTTGGATGCTCCGGTTGTGCCATCAGTGTCCCCTTCGAAGCGTATTTTGTGACACTGCTTCCAAAGATGTTTGTTTATGAATAAACATACACGACTGCACGACCAGATCATTCCAAGTGAACCTATACAAATCATTCGAAAACTCTGTGGAAGTGTGCCTGTCGTCTGTTTTTGTGGCCCAAAGCACCCCAAATGTGAAAAATAACATTCCCTATTTATCTCTTGCGTAGATCATGGTTGTCTTTTTTTATTCCTTGCACTTCATTCAAAGCTGTCACTAACATGCGAGCATATGAGTTTGTTGATTTCTATGTCTTCAGTATAGTCTTACAGTTAACATAAACGTCTTTGGCAAGCACTCTGATTTCCTTCTTCCAAAATGGTACGGACAGGATATAAATTCAGCTGACAGATCAGGGAAACCGAACAATTTTGATTGCACAGCCATTTAAAGAAACTCATGAACTTTCTATGGTATCTGACCTCACTCTTGCTCAGTGAGATACCATAGAAAGTCCACTTGTTTCTTAAAATGGTATCTAACGAGAATGGGTATAGAATTCTCTCTGTATGTCACCTTGAGTCTGGATGAGCAGGTGCTCCTTGAGGCGGGCCACTTCCTCAGCCTCCGTCTCTGTCACAGCAGGCTCCTCACCCAGGTCTTCCAGCTGACTGTCAATGTCAGCCAGCACTGGAACATGCAATGTGAAACATGCCACGTGTATCCCGCAATGTGAAACATGCCATGTGAATCTCACAATGTGAAACATACCACATGAATCCCCCAATGTGAATGTGAAAGATATCACATGAATACTGCAATGTGAAACACACCATGTCAATCCTGCAATGTGAAACATACCACATGAATACCGCAATGTGAAACATACCACATAAATGCTTCAATGTGAAACGTACCACGTGAATCCCACAATGCGAAACATACCACATGAATGCTTCAATGTGAAACATACCACGTGAATCCCACAATGTGAAACATACCATGTGAATCCCACAATATGGAACACATCATAAGAACATGTACTGTGAAACATGCCATGTGAATCCCTCAACGTGAAAAATACCATGTGAAACCCATAAAATGTGAAACATGTGATATGAGGCAAACAACCTGAAGCCTACAATGTGAAATACATGAGACACATAACATAATTTCAAAAGACTGTAATGTAACATAATGTAATATTTAAGGAGTACCTATGATATAACACCAATCTCAGAAGTAAAAAGATGGAAACATTCACATTCAACCATGTATATACAGGCAACTCACAAAAACAATGACATTTATCATCACTGTGTCCTGCTTTGTACCCATTAATATCCAAAATGGCAAACCAATCACATCATAAAATCAATCAGGGATCAGGGAGGAAAGTTAACTCAAAACACTAACAAGGCTTGTCAGAATTGTTTTCTGCAAGACCTGCAAAATATTACTTGTACTTATAAAATAAGAAGACTTGCAAATTTCAATCTTTAATTTATGACAAATACATTCAAATATTAAGACTCAGTCTGAACATATACATCAAGTGTTTTAAAAATATTTAACATTGTTCATTACAAGAAAGACCCGGAAGATTGTGCTAAATGTCTAGCGCAGAGATTTGACAGTGGGAATCAAGAGGGCAACATGTAATTTATAGCATGTGTGAAAACATTTACAGGCAAAATGGGCCAGTAGAATCATAATTTTATTAGCCCAAGGTAATTTCTACAAGCCTTGGGCATATGGGCCAGCATTTAAATTCCCTCCCTGGTGAGACTGTTCAGCTAGATGTTGATGTGACACAACCAGTAGTATGTACTCACAGTTGTCTATAGATGCTAGGTCGGAGATGACTCTTTCTGCCTGCGTCACCACCTCATTCACCCCAATACAAAGTCTCTCCTTCTCGTCCTGCAATAACACACAGCAATCTACACACAAAGAACATACATTTTTAGTTAAAGATGTGAGATCCACTGCAGGGTCATCAGAATTCCCTGCATGTGTCTTGTGGTGAGGTGAGGTTAGTTGGGGTTTAATTCAAGAATATTGCTCTAATATAGCGACGTGCATGCATAGCGACGTGTGGGTGTTGGGGGGGACTGCTTTTAATAGTCCAGACCAGGGGTCCGGAAAATTTAAAATCCCAATCGGACATTTGCATTTAGGCCACGCCTCCTGCAAATAGCGTATTTTAGTACGACTTTTTACACACACATTACAAGTTGTTACGTATTCATAATATGATGAATTATGAATTGTTTCAATTTAAATTGTTTAATTCACCGGACAATTAATAACAAATAATATCATTTTAGATATATATGGAAAACATACGTTTGTTTCTGTTATAATAACGACTATTATCCTATATTTGGTTATCACGTGACCTCACGGGAAAAGGGTTTTTTTAAACTAAAGATTATTTAAAAACAAGACAGATAATATAATCATAAATACTAAAATATCGTTGATAGCAATAGTTATTTGAATACTTTTTTCATCTGTTCTTAATTACTGACCATAAAAAAATTTGATATCGATCGTCACAGAAAGCAAAATGGCGGTCAATCAAGATTCAATATACGACCAGCTACTGAAAACAATAAAATCTGCAAATCCTCATTGTATGTCAACCAAGTGAAAGTCGTTAGCCACGACTTACAAAATGATCATTCAGACTTTGAGGGTTTGGCAGATCCGCTCGACTGATTTGCATCAGTCGACTGGCTGTCGTCACGCTTTCGCTTCTTGTCTGAGGTTACGTATCGTAGCATTGTGAGGATAATGAGGTACATCGATGATACAAGGTATTTATGTACAGTTGTTAACACATTTTACTCAAATTAACAAGATGTTCTCAGTAATTAATCCTCGATTAATCAGTGTCAACTCAGTTTATTGCCTATTACAGTGATTGACCGATTGGACTATCATGTAGGTACAATGTATTTACAGCAATCAAAACAAACAAAGCTTGTCAGTGTAGATAATCTTCATTGTGTTACAACTGCAGACAGAAACTGCTCAGTCCTAACTGTTGATCACGTCCGGTCAAACTTTAAGAATGTCCGGACAATACTTTTTAAAATGTCCGGACAGAAAAATTTAAATGTCCGGTAAGCAATATTTTAAACCGGACATTTGAGATTCCCAATCGGACAAATCCGGCGCATATGACGGTTTCCGGACCCCTGGTCCAGACTAATGCCAATTTATAGTGCTAGTGCACTGAGATACCATGCCGCTGTTTAACATAAATACCCCACTCAGACACAGTATCTTGATTCCGAGCCAACCAGTCTTTGTTTTATCTCCTTAATGCCGAGCACCAGGCAGGGTAACAACCAGTACCTTCTTCTAAAGTCTTTTGGTATGGTGCAGTGGGGGATCGACCACACGACCTTCTGCCCTCCAGGCGGATGCTCTAACACGACACCACAGAGGCGGTCATATATGTATTGAGAGTCATTAGCAGAGGCTAGAGAATAATGCCTGAGTTTCAGTCTACAAGATATATTTAACAAAGCGTAACATCATAAACAACCTCTGTTGAATTAAGCCAGTTATTATGTATACATAACGCCCTCCTCAAGGGTAACATGGATATATCACATGCAGAGGTGGGGGCTAACCAATTTATACCCCAACCGCGATGTGCCTTATACAAGGATGCAAAACCATGAACCGAGGCTTGCTCCCCTCTCATAGGAATCGAATTACCTGACCTCAGCACATTGCACGCATGGGGTCACTAAGATAGATTAACAACCTGCCGAAACAATGGGCATAACACACACTAGTGGTATGAGAGAGAATAGCAACACCCCTACCTTGTGCAGGCACTGTTTAGATACAGCAACACCCCTACCATGAGGTTTTGCAGACACTGCTTAGATATAGCAACACCCCTACATTGAGGTTGTGCAGACACTGCTTAGATATAGTAACTCCCTTCCTTGAGGTTGGGCAGACACTGTTTAGAGATAGCAACACCCCTAGCTTGAGGTCATGCAGACACTGGTTAGAAATGGCAACATCCCTACCTTGAGGTTGTGCAGACACTGTTTAGAAATGGCAACACCCCTACCTTGAGGTTGTGCAGACACTGTTTAGATATAGTAACTCCCTACCTTGAGATCGTGCAGACACTGTTTAGAAATGGCAACACCCCTACCTTGAGGTCGTCCAGACACTGTTTAGAAATGGCAACACCCCTACCTTGGGTGACACTGTTTAGATATAGTAAATCCCTACCTTGAGGTTAGGCAGACACTGTTTAGAGATAGCAACACCCCTACCTTGAGGTTGTGCAGACACTGTTCAGAGATGCATACACCCCTAGCTTGAGGTCATGCAGACACTGTTTAGAAATGGCAACACCCCTACCTTGAGGTTGTGCAGACACTGTTTAGATATAGTAAATCCCTACCTTGAGGTTGTGCAGACACTGTTTAGATATAGTAACTCCCTACCTTGAGGTTGTGCAAACACTGTTTAGAAATGGCAACGCCCCTACCTTGAGGTTGTGCAGACGCTGTTTAGATATAGTAACTCCCTACCTTGAGGTTGTGCAAACACTGTTTAGAAATGGCAACGCCCCTACCTTGAGGTTGTGCAGACGCTGTTTAGAGATGCCAACACCCCTACCTTGAGGTTGTGCAGACACTGTTTAGATATAGTAACTCCCTACCTTGAGATAGTGCAGACAATATTTAGATATAGTAAATCCCTACCTTGAGGTTGGGCAGACACTGTTTAGATATAGTAAATCCCTACCTTGAGGTTGGGCAGACACTGTTTAGAGATGCCAACACCCCTACCTTGTGGTTGTGCAGGCACTGTTTAGAAATGGCAACACCCCTACCTTGAGGTTGTGCAGACACTGTTTAGATATAGTAACTCCCTACCTTGAGGTTGTGCAAACACTGTTTAGAAATGGCAACACCCCTACCTTGAGGTCGTGCAGACACTGTTTAGAAATGGCAACACCGCTACCGTGAGGTTGTGCAGACACTGTTTAGATATAGTAACTCCCTACCTTGAGGTTGTGCAGACACTGTTTAGAAATGGCAACGCCCCTACCTTGAGGTTGGGCAGACACTGTTTAGATATAGTAACTCCCTACCTTGAGATAGTGCAAACACTGTTTAGAAATGGTAACACCCCTACCTTGAGGTTGTGCAGACACTGTTTAGATATAGTAATTCCCTACCTTGAGGTTGGGCAGACACTGTTTAGAAGCAACACCCCTACCTTGAGATAGTGCAGACAATGTCAGAGATAGCAACACCCCTACCTTGAGGTCGTGCAGACACTGTTCAGAGATGCCAACACCCCTAGCTTGAGGACGTGCAGACACTGTTTAGAAATGGCAACATCCCTACCTTGAGGTTGTGCAGACACTGTTTAGAGATGGCAACACGCTCCCTCTTCATCTTGGCCTTAGCCCAGCGCTGACACGCCTTGTAGCAGGAGTGGACCTCTTCCTGAAACAAGGACCAACATTCAAATTTTGTTTGTGTGTTGTATAACACCACACTCAGCAATATTTAAGCTACACAATGGCTGTTTGTAAATAATCGAGTCTTGACCAGACAATCCAGTAATTCACATCATGAGCATCGATCCATTGAGATACAATGTCATGCATCAACCAAGTCAGCGAGTCTGACCACCCAATCCAAATAGTCGCCCCTTCCGACAAGCATGGGTTGCTGAAGACCAATTTCGAACCTGGATCAAGACGGGTAAACATTCAAGAAGACTGGGTGGACAAACGGAGCAAGCAGTCATGTAACACAGGCACCCAAGCAGTAGATAACAAGGTGCTTGACATCAAGGGCTTCACAAATTGTACCCTTGTGAGAAATAGATTTGATAAATCAATATCAATGAGGGGTCACTCTCGAGGCTAACCACCAACTGTACCTTTGTAATCTGTGAGTTTCTCAGCTGACTGAAGAGCATCGGTTCCTTCTCTGACACAATGTGCTGCTGTCCTTCCACCTCTTCTTCATCCCTGTCAGGGAGACATTGATGTCAGTACAACATTACTCTGTCATAGCACTTTGCACATTTTGATACTTTAAGGCATACTTAATCACAAATGCATGACCAAATTATATTTGAAAAAAAGGGGAAACGTCCCCAAAATGAAAAATTCTGCCACTGTGGGGATTCCCCTTAGTGGTGTTAAAATGGGTTCCCCGATGTTTGACACGCTACGCAAGGCTGCCTGCTTCTGCCACTGATTCTTTAAGACATTATGTCTTCTTTCTGTCTGCACATCCATTTGATTACCATGTCCACAACTTATGTAACAAAACTGAAGATGCCTTCATGTTTACTCAGGGGATTTATCCCTGACAGGCATTTACTGTGTGGAATAGGGCTGCGGGAAGTTGGTGTTTTTTTACTCAAACAGGATGTTAGTAATTAAACGCTTGTTACAGATTGATTAATTAAAATAACAATTAACAATATCAAGATCAAAGGTTGTTTCATACATTGAACAATGTATGCAATGGGTTTTTTTTGTGCCTCTTGTGACAAGCATCATGTACAGAGGATCAACACTACGCTGGAATCTCTCTGAATGCAGACACTGACCTTTCTATCTGCTGTTGGAGTCTCTCGTACATGTCGTCCTTCACCTGTGTCTCGGTGGCCGTCAGTGTCTGGAGACGGAGCACCTCCTGCAAACTGTCTGCTTCTAGCGCCTGCAGGGAGACACCCATACAGATCAAAACATGTTGCATGGAGTACTGATTTCACAAAACAAGTGTCCAAATGTTTGTTTATTTGTTTGTTTGTTTGTTGTTAAACGCTGCACTCAGCAATATCACAGCTAAATCACGGCGGTCTACAAATAATCAAGTCTGGACCAGACAATCCAGTGATTGACACCATGAGCATCGATCTACGCAATTGGGATACGATGACATGCGTCAACCAAAGCAGCGAATCTGACCACCTGATCCTGCTAGTTGCATCTTAAGACAAGCATGGGTTGCTGAAGGACAATTGTAACCCAGAAACTTCACGGAACCCAAATGTTAGAACAAGTATTTGTCACAAAGTGACGAAATGTCCCCCGCCTGTATATACACCATAGTACCAAATATGAAGACAATCCAGCGATTAGTTCTTGAGATATTGCGGCAACACTGTTTTCCAACTCCAAAAACAGATTTGCCTGCTGTGACCTTGAAAATGGGGTCAAGGTCACCAAAACCGACTGGTGTCTGCGGTGTCTGTATATACACCATAGTTCCAAATATGAAGACAATCCAGTGTTTAGTTCTTGAGATATCGCGGCAACACCGTTTTCTAACTCCAAAAGCAGATTTGCCTGCTGTTACCTTGAAAATGGGATCAAGGTCACCAAAACCGACTGGTGTCTGCGGAGTCTGTATATACACCACAGTTCTAAATATGAAGACAATCCAGTGTTTAGTTCTTGAGATATCGCGGCAACACCGTTTTCCAACTCCAAAAGCAGATTTGCCTGCTGTGACCTTGAAAATGGGGTCAAGGTCACCAAAACCGACTGGTGTCTGCGGAGTCTGTATATACACCATAGTTCCAAATATGAAGACAATCCAGCGATTAGTTCTTGAGATATCGCGGCAACACCGTTTTCCAACTCCAAAAGCAGATTTGCCTGCTGTGACCTTGAAAATGGGGTCAAGGTCACCAAAACCGACTGGTGTCTGCGGAACTTGTATATACACCATAGTTCCAAATACGAAGACAATCCAGAGTTTAGTCCTTGAGATATCGCGGCAACAAACAGGTGGGACGTACGGACGGACGGACGGACGGACGGACGGTCGTGAATACTATATCCCCCGCTTCGCGCTTTCGCGCGGCGGGGGACAACAAGAAAAAAATATGGATTTGGACAAGTTCTGTACAATACACATACACAATACAATACACATATGGATATGATATTTCATTTAATAACCACAATAGCTGTCATGTGGAACTGTGCTGAGAAGCAAGCAGGTTCAACATATCACTAAAGATAGGTAGAAAAAAAATATACTGCGTCCCAAGGGACACAAAGTTATATTCATTGTACCTACAGCTCATCAAGAGCCATCTTCCCGAGGCAAGAGAGTTAACTGACTAAAAGTCCAGTTTCCACCCTTGCAGAACTAGGCTGGAATTCCTGGGTTCGATCGTTGCGCTACCAGTGGCTATTACCAGTTTTGTCCCTTCTAAGCCTCTCCTATGGACCAATCAGATTCCACCTCTTGTATCACTTGCACTGTTTGACGGTTTCGATTTTGGTGCGCGAATTTGATTGGACTATGCATAGACTCATTAGTCCAGCCAAAATGTAACTCTATAATACCAGCCTAGTTCGGCAAGGGTGGAAACTGAACTTTTATATCCAGTTAACACTCTTGCCTCGGGAAGATGATCAAGAACAGTTATAGGTGTCTGTTATTTCATCCATCAATCATGACCACTGTCCACATGATCACGGATTCATTATTTTGTAACATCCACACATTGTGAACTATTAAACTTAATCTATTCTTCTAACATGTCTAAACCACTTTTCTATCACCCCAACCCAAAAGCCTTTCTAAGCAAAGTAAAATTCAAGGTACCTGGATGTTCTGTACATACCGGTAATATATTGATGCTACTTCTTCTGTTGCACTTGGGCTTGAACTGAGATATTCCAGTCCTCTCACAGAATGTTCCGAAGTCCCAGGGACCATCATTCTCATCATACTACAAGACAAGCAGCAGACTGATGTAATGGAACCATCACTGCAGAATATTACCTTGTGAGCAAAGTACATTTACTGCATGGGTTCTAATCTGTAATGTTAATACCATTCAATAATGATTTTATGAGAAAACAACTAATCCTTTCAGAATGTCACTTAATATAGATTGGTAATTTATGCATTAATCACTGTTTTTTCAACATGCACAACTTTTGTATATAGCAACAACAATGAGGTGATGTAATTCAGAAATTAAAAAATATGGCATTCCCTCAGCATGCTAAGAGATTACATAAGTTGGTATCAACCACACTACTTCACCTTCTTGTCCAGCAAACTGAATGACAGCAGCGACTGGGACAGAGATATGGCAGACTGTGAGTGGTGCCCCCTAGTGTGCTCCTCACTGCTCTCCGAATTGGCAGAATCAAGGGAGGTAACTGTGTCATTGTCACCAATCGGAAGAATATCTGCAGGTTGTGAATCTGAAAGTCAAAGTCAAAACCAGGTTGACCTTGATCATTTCATTATAATAAACAAAGTAACGGGGCTGAGCAAAATGAGAAAAATATTCAGAGGTCTTGTCTTGAAATTCGCACGCGTAGTTTCAGCATCATTAATCCATAGAACAAATATTGTAGAGAAGTTAAAGTCACACTTCAAATAAATCCTGAAACAAGAATAAATGACCATGATTACTTCCTTGAATCATACAATCTATTCAAAAAATTATTTTCCAACTAAGCCAACCTGACCACTTACCAACTTGTGTCACCTCAGTAGGGTCCGCCACTTCAAGTTTAGGTCTCTTTTTGTCAGCAGAGGAGATCGGCTCGGGACTGCCATGTTTGCCCACGGCAACTGTCGTCCTCCCTTTTGCTGGAGTTTTGCCCGAGACAGGAGATGTCCCTTGTGTCAAACCCCTTGACTTGTTCATCTTGTCCAGGATCAACGCCAGTCCTGTGGTTGTATTATGTAGTGTGAGGTTCATGTCTTCATCAAGAAGTAAGGCAGGTGGTTCCTCCGAGTCGATGGTCTGAGATTTAGTATCTTCTTCTTCTTCTTCCAGGATTGTTTTCTCAGCTCTGACATGACCATCATCAGCCTGAAACTTCTGCGAGAGTGAGTCAGTATTCGGCTTGTGTTTAGTGTTCTTGGCCATCATGTGGAGCTCCAGCAGCTTGGTGTCATCCAGCATGTCTGTGTCCTCCTCCAGGGCAGCCATCTTCAGCATCTCCAGGGCACTCAACTCACCCTCGGGAACACCCAGCTTCAGGATGTCAGTAGCTGTGTGAGTCAGGTCAGCCTGGTCCACTGTGGCGCCAACAGGAGATGGTTTAGGCATATCCTTTCCTGACATGTCTCCTGTCTTGGTGGAAGACGGTGCTGAGTCTGTAGATGGGATCTGAGGCTCTCTTTCATGACTTTGTCCAACCTTTGTGTTATTGTCTGAACATATTTCTGTAGCCTTGTCACCACAATTTTCTTCCTTATTTAACTTGGCTACTTTCACCGTCTTGGCCTTCGCTCCAGCCATCATCATGTCGAAGCTGTAGAGCTTGCGCTTGAGGCTCTGTGTGCTAAAACCATCCACCTGAGGAGGAGCTGCGTTCACCATCCCACTGTACTGACTCCTCCTCTGCTGCAGGCTCTTGTCAGCTGGCATCGATTCTCCTGGCAAAGAACGGCCACTCTCACCTCTCCTAGCCTCCCTGCCATCTTCAGTCACTTCCGCCTTGGTACTATCTTTATCCTTAGATTCTTGAACATCATCTTGATCTGTTGCTGCTGCTGTTGCTGTGGAGACTGCACTGACACACTCTGTCATCTCCATGGCTGCTGTCACATCCGTGGCACCAAACATTCTGGTTGTGTCAGACTGAACATCACCCTGGGTTGCCGACATTACTCCTGGCTGGCATGATGTAAGTTCCATAGATCCTCCTCGTCGCTCAAAGTGAATAGTCTTATCATCGGTTTTACCTTCTGACGATTCCCTCTTTACCTTAGCACTGACACACTCAGTCAACTCCATGGCTGCGGTCACATCTTCAGTGTTGAAAACCCTGGTCTTCTCGGAACATGTAATATCAGGGTTCTGTTGCTTGACACTCAGCACTCCATGGCATCCTGTCAACTCCATGGCTGCGGTCACATCTTCGGTGTTGAAAACCCTGGTCTTCTCGGAACATGTAATATCAGGGTTCTGTTGCTTGACACTCAGCACTCCATGGCATCCTGTCAACTCCATGGCTGCAGTCACATCTTCGGTGTTGAAAACCCTGGTCTTCTCGGAACATGTAATGTCAGGCTGTTGCTGTTGCTTGACACTCAGCACTCCATGGCATCCTGTCAACTCCATGGCTGCAGTCACATCTTCGGTGTTGAAAACCCTGGTCTTCTCTGAACATGTAATATCAGGGTTCTGTTGCTTGACACTCAGCACTCCATGGCATCCTGTCAACTCCATGGCTGCGGTCATGTCTTCCTTACCAAAAACTCTCGTCACATCTTGACAGGTGGAACTCGAGACAGCCACCCTACCTTCAGCCTTCCCTGTTCCATCAGGCAGAGGTACTTTCTGCTTAAACGATACAGTGTCATCAATATGAGTGGTAACATTCTGTCTCACATTATTTGCTGTTTCAATAGTTTCAAGGCAAGCTGTAAACTCCATATTGCCAACATCGCCTGCGGCCCCAAAAATCTGGGTCTTCTCAAGACAGACACTGGTGGTGGGGTGTTCCTGAGATACCACCCCCTCTTTGTCCTGCCGCTCCACCTGTGTGGTCAAACATGAGGTGAAGTCCATGTCCCCCTGCGTGTCTGCTGTCTTGAAATGCACAGTGATGTTTTCTTTCTCCATGTCCACGGGAGAGATACTTGGTATTCTTCGCCTCCCCTCATCCCTCCGAGTCTTGAGTCCATCGGCCCCAAAATCAGCTGTGACATCCGTCAGAGCTCTCTTATGAGATCTGGATAAAAGATCTGGTGCCTTTTTCACAATGGTGGTTCCCCCGCCATTGCTGCTGATGATGAGTTTTGGGTCTAATGCTTCAGTCATCTCCATGTCGGCATCTATCTCCTGATGCCCGAAGCGTATGGTAACTTCAGACGGAGAGGAAGCCTTCCCTGCGGCTACAATTGCTGAAGAATAATGAGAAAATAATATTTACGATTGGCATATTGGCACATAGATCATATATCAATATATCATAATATGGAGAGCTGTATAGCGATACATATTGCAATACGTATTGGGGTCCAATTAAATATATTTGTACTTTTCAAATAGTACTTCTTCATTCAATAATCATGACTTTAGATTGCAAGATGAGTAGTATGGATAAACGAGACTTCCTATTATGTCATCAATATGGAATGTTAATGTCAACAGTGTGAAGCATGTGCTGTTTACATGGTTTACATTGGAAACCAGTCCATCCAAGATAGTAGATGTAATATATATAATTAAATATTTATTCTTCTGTAACTGTATCAGAAAATATTGATATACACGCGTTGTATTGCAAAAATTGTATTGCTGACGGACGTATTGCAATATACCGGTATACCAACTATACTGCACACACTTATAACAATTGTGTTCAGAAAATGAACATGATGAAATCAGTTCTCAGGCAAGTGTTACGAAAACTTCTGAGCAAATGAAATGTTGTCAATGAAAATTTCCAATTTTGCTTGATTTTAATACTCATCACTGACAGACAAGGTTTTCTACAAGGCAAACATACAGCACATTGATCTGTTTGTTTGTTGTTTAACGCCGCTCTCTACATTATTCCAGATATATGACAGCAGTCTGTAAATCATCCAGACGATCCAGTGATTGACATCAACCAACCACCCGATCCCGTTAGTCACCTGTTGTAAGGTTTCAGGTTGGCATGGTAATGTTTTAGTTGGCTGGTTTGTTTGTTGTTTTACGCTGCACTCAGCAATGTTCCAGCTATATGACAGCAGTCTGTAAATAATCAAGTCTGGACCAGACAATCCAGTTATTGACATCATGAGCATCTATCTACACAATTGGGAACGATGACATGCATCAAACAAGTCAGAGCCTGACAACCCGATCACGTTAGTAGCCTCTTACGACAAGCAGAGTCACCTTTCACTGCAAGGATGGGTTGCTGAAGACCTATTCTACCCTGAATCTTCACGGGTTGGTAACGTTTTAAAGGCATGAACCCATGAGAGTAACTCACCATGTTTGGGTGTGGCAGTGCCCTGCACACTACTGGCAGTTCTGTCCCCTCCCTCCTGGGGGCCAGCTCCCTCTGTCCCGGCAGCTGCACTGTGGGTGCCGCTCAGTATCACCCCTGTATCAGACAGATAGAATGGTCAGCAAGTGGTTGGAGTTAATGCCGCTTGCTACAATAATTGTCACCATGACAGGGTGGGTCCGCTAAAACCTACGAAAAGCACACAGCAGAGGCAGATCGAGAATTTCTTAAAGTGACTGGTTCACATTTTGAATTGTTGGGGGATGTTCAGTGGGGATGGGGGATGTTCAAATCAGACATTCAGACAAGGATAACAGGGGATACAAAGGTAATATTTTTGGGTTCACATGCTGTGCAACTTTTCTCGCCAGTCTGAACATAGTCTAGTAAAATTCTGATTGGTCTCGTAACCTCAGCTAATAATAGTCTACATAATAACACTAAATTTTACTGCAAATACATCTTACCAAGGCAAGAGTGTGCACTAGGCTTTTTATCAAAGTTTTTTTTCCACCCTTGCCACATCAAGCCCACTTTCCTGTGCTAAATATGATTGGACTATCGCACATATCTATAGTCCAATCAGAGAACGATTCACAAAATCATTTTTCACGACTGGTACACCTTCGTATAAAAATGATTTACAGCTGCCTGTCTTTGTTGACACAAATATGTCTTTTTGATCTTTTAAAAAACCCAACGTTTGCCTATATTTTTGTGTCAGGGATGAAATCGTGAATGTTTTTGTTAACTGATGGAATAGGTCGTCGCCAATGGTAGTCGCCATCCTTGTGAAGCTATACGACATAACAGCGATCTGATTGGGTATTACATTTTCAGTACAAGAGGCACACCTTGTGATTTACTCGAGGTGGCACCAGGGTCGAGTCAAGAAAGTGGACTTGATGTGGCAAGGGTAGAAACTAGGCTTTGATACAGGTTGGTGGACACGCTTGCCTCGGGAAGATGCTGAAAATAATGCTAAGGGACAATTTTGGGCGAGTGGTTTTAAATTTTTTGGTCACTGACTGCACATATGAGTTTTAAAATCAAATCTGGGATTAGTGTTGGAATAAATTTTGTAGAGGTTTGAAAACCATTTGGGGGTTTCATCTTTTACAGGTTTCACCAAACTCGCTCACTGTAACTTTCTTTCTTATTCTGCCCTCAAACTTATACCCAACAGACCAGAAAAAAGTTGGTTAAGGAAAAAGAGAAGAAGCCTCTTTATCATGTGCTGTGTATGTGGAGAATTTGTTTGTCATTTCTGATTGACTGTCTCACCTTGAGAGCTTTTAGAAACCTAACAACATGAAGCACAAAATGCAGTCAATGCAGTGAAAATGTGAATGAGTGAGTCACGCAATTTTGACACTGTATCAGGAAGTAACCATACATAGACTTCACACTTTATAACCATGGGAAAAGTTCAAACAATTTAATGCTCTTGCCTTCTTTTTAGTTCCTTCAAGTGTTAATTGTGTATTAAATCTCTCTGCTAGCTGTTGTGGACAGTTGAAACTCACCTCCTGCAACTGTGAAATCCATGTGTGTGGTTGGATCTTCATAATCCGTGAACACCTTCGTCTCCTCAAGACCATGATTAGTGCTCCTCCCCATCGAGGTGCCTGCTCCAAGTTTGGACTGACTTATCTGACTGACTTGACCTTTGATTGCGTTTAATTCCGATATTGGCAAATTGCTTTTCACCACTTCCAGGTTCGAGGTTAAATTTGTTGTCATTTCCATGCCATCGTCATTCTCTGCAAATATACGTGTTGACTCCAGCACATTCCCCGTGCTCTGCCGCTTCTTGATGCTCTGCAACATGCCTGTGAAGTTAGCCGTCACTTCCATATCATCATCCAAACCATCAAAAATAACTGTCCGATTCTCTTTCTCCTTTCTCTTCTCCTCTTCGTGTGCAAACTGCTTGGACATTGTTGTGATACTTTTCAGTTTAGAGAGGAAAGCCTTGTTGTCGATCTTGCCCACTGGTTCCTCCTCGTCATCAGAGTCGACGTTGTTGCTGAAGAAGCCTCCTTTGCCGCCTCTGAAGAAGCTGCTAGCTTTGTACTCCTCATCATCGGAGTCTTCCAGGGCCTTGATAAGTGGCTCATTATCACAACTGTAAACATGTGGCCAGTTTATCAGGGAGCTTAAGTCTCCGGTTCAATTGGGTAACTCACTCAAGGAAGAATTATCTTGTCCTCCCTCTTTCTGTTGATTGTTGTTTAATGCCATACTCAGCAATATTCCAGCTACATGTATATGACAGCAGCATGTAAATAATTGAATCTGGACCAAACATCCAATGATTGACATCATGAGCATCGATCCATGCAATTGAGTTACAAGACATGCATCAACCAAGTCACCAAACTGGACGACCCGATCTGTTTACTCGCCAGTTATGACAACAATGGGTTGCTGGGGATCTATATTCTTCAAAAACTGCTACTACTATATTTTACAGGATATGTTCTCGCCTTTGACTCTGAACGTCACAATGTCTCCCACACAAATAGATCATCAGTTAATAACAGTGTTACATGTCCATACTTTATTTGAAATGTGTCAGGCATCTCTTTCACAAGTCTTTTAACCATTAATATAAGTCCTTCAGGCACTTATAACTCATCAATTCACATTCCTGGGGTAATCTACTTGCATCAGATGTGATGCAGATGATTAACTCAGGGGATACCCTATTCACTGTAATAAGCTCCCTGGACGCTTAGAAAATTGAGAGGGAGGAAGGCGTTTATTAAACACAGAACAAGTTAAATTTGCTTTCAGAGATCGAGCAGAAGTGAATAAGCTTAGTTCAAAAGTAGATGAAACTAAAACTTTTCAAGGATAGTTTCTATAAAAAGTCTGTACTACACACATGAAAACATGGACTGTGATGAACAGTTTCAGTGTTAGTAGTGGACACTTATAAAGATTGGTCTAGAAGGTGGAAAATTTGTTACTCAAATATCCTAAGACACATTTATGTCTTCAAGCACATATAACCTGCTTCCACATTCTTGAGAACATTTGCAATGTCTCAAAATGGAAACTGTTTCACTAAACCTTTTAAACAGCATCAATGAACTAGAAAAATAGAAATGTTTTTCAAAAGCAAAATAAATATCTCATATGTCCATACGCTGTAATGAAATGAAACACAATAAACTAATAAGAATCATAACTGGAACTGTTGATGAGGTGAAAACGGCATCTTCTTACCTCTTGGGGGCCTTCATCAGTTTGGTGAGGAAGGAAAGAGTGTCCACTTTCTTATCCTCGACGTCTGAATCCTCGTCATACTTTGGGTTGGACAGGGTGGTGTTCTGTGCGATGGTTGTGTTGGCACACATGGTCTCCTCCATGTCTGCACCATCCAAGACAGTCTTGTTAATGCCCTGGTAGACACACAACACAGCACTTAGGGATACTCAACATACACATACAGCAGGCCTCAAAGATCTTACACACGGAGTATGTGAATGTTCTCAACACCATAGTCAACAATATTCCTGCTATATAATAACAGATAGATAGATTTTGGTTTGTTTGTTAGATGTTTAACGCTACACAATTGGGATATGATGACATGAAGTCAACGAGTCTGACCACCCAATCCCGTTAGTCGCCTCTTACGACAAGCATAGTCACTTTTTACGGGAAGCATGAGTTGCTGAAGGCCTATTCTACCCCGAATGGATAGATGGATGGAAGGGTGGGTGGGTGGGTGGGTGGTTGGATGGATGGATGGATGGATGGATGGTTGGATGGATGGATGGATGGTTGGATGGTTGGATGGATGGATGGATGGATGGGTGCACTCAACAATCATTCTCAGCTCCCTGAGGAGTATACAATCCTAGCTGCCCCAGGTGCTAGAATGGTAACAACCACATTACCATCTCATCCTACTGGGTACCAATTCACTGCTGGGTTAACAGAGGCACATTTCAACAAAGTCACTTGCCCAAGGAGACACCACATGTGTTACATGTACTTCAGTATGACACCAACATGTAAATAATCAAGTAATGACCAGATAAAACCGTGATTATTATTATGAGGATACAATAAATCTCCAAGTTTTACAACCCAATCCATTTTAGTTGACTTACAAGCTTATCCTGATTCTACTTATCCAATGAGTGTGATTTCAGTGAGTGTGTAAGTGAGTGAGTATGGTTTTAGCAATATTCCAGCTATATGACAGCCTGGGGCACCAATGTCGGGACTCAAACCCGATTCTTCAGCGTGATGAGCAAACGCTTTAGCCACTAGGCTCCACGGCCGCCCCAAGAGTGTGATTCCCACCTTCTCATCCCCAAAAGCATATCACACAATCATAAAGACTGACTGTAGATCTTGTATTTATGAAAGTTTTGGTGGTATTAAACACTTTCTTAAATCTGATTTTAGTTAAATGATAGACAAGCAATACTTACTTGAGCATCTTCTTCCTGTCCCTGTATTTGTATCTGGCCATTGAGGAGCTGTTCTAGCCCTGAAATACAATCAGACATGATCAAGTACTCCAAGGCACAACTCTTTCATAGAATGGCATCAGTCGTACTGATAATGTATCATGTTTGCTTAACAGGATTTTAGCATGGTTCATTTTCAATGACAATGACATACTAATTTTTCCAAACTTACGATCTCAAAAGTTATTCTTACAGAAGGTGATAAAGTCATAAAAGTGTCTTAATGCCATTTTTTTCAAGCAAATTCACCGCTTGTGTCCTAACAGTATTAACTAACTACTTGTGTTGCAGGAGGCTCCATGCCAATTTCAACAGTACTTCAGTGATGAAGATCATTGGCATTTACCATGTCTACCACACTGATGAATCTGACCATCAAGGGTATGGGGCTGACATACCAAGGATCACAAACTAGGATTCGAATCCACAATGCTGGCACATATCCAAGGACTGGGACACCTATGTCCTCCAGATAATACTGTGACCTGGCATCACAATACTGGTACATCAAAGGACTGGGACACCTGTGTCCCCTTGATAATACTGTGACCTGGCATCACAATACTGGTACATCAAAGGACTGGGACACCTGTGTCCCCCAGATAATACTGTGACCCGGCATCACACTACTGGTACATCAAAAGACTGGGACACCTGTGTCCCCCAGATAAAACTGTGACCCTGGCATCACAATACTGGTACATCAAAAGACTGGGACACCTGTGTCCCCCAGATAATACTGTGACCTGGCGTCACAATAGTGGTACATCAAAAGACTGGGACACCTGTGTCCCCCAGATAATACTGTGATCTGGCATCACAATACTGGTACATCAAAGGACTGGGACACCTGTGTCCCCCAGATAATACTGTGACCTGGCGTCACAATACTGGTACATAAATTGACTGGGACACCTGTGTTCCCTTGATAATACTGTGACCCTGGCATCACAATACTGGTACATCAAAAGACTGGGACACTTGTGTCCCCCAGATAATACTGTGACCCTGGCGTCACAATACTGGTACATCAAAAGACTGGGACACCTGTGTCCCCCAGATAATACTGTGACCTGGCATCACACTACTGGTACATCAAAAGACTGGGACACCTGTGTCCACTAGATAACACTGTGACCCTGGCATCACAATACTGGTACAAGGACCCATGTTGAACATTACACATTGACACAAGTGAAAGAAATACTATTCATAGCTCACCTAGAATCTCATGTCCAGTAGGTGTCTGGCCACTGCCTGAACTGTAACAGAGAAAGGTTTCTGAGGTTATTTTGTTGAAATCATTTTGTAACACATCCATCTACAACATGTACAATCACTGATTAGCACTTTACTGTAATTGAGATAAAAAAAAGTATGACAACTTATCACAAAGATTAATTAGTATGCAAGCATTTTAAGTTCATATTTACTGGTCTTTTAAATGTAAGTTAATGTAATTGCGTTCTGATAAAATAGCTAAAGTTGTAAATATCTTTTAACAATAAATACAAACCTCTTATCCTCTGTTAGGCTCTCGTTGCCTGAAACAGAAATTTCATGTCATGATCATATGAACCATCTCAAAACACTAATATTACAGGAGCTATTCAGTGTATACAGTTATGTTTTCCCACTTGCCCAGCACTTAGGTCGGGCAAGCTAACTGAACACCCCTGCAAGCTAAAGTTCAGTTGGAGAGAAGAAAGCTTCCGAGACGATTTGCCTTTGAGGGAATGTAAGAACATAGTCAATATAAGCTCTAAAGTTTAATAACTGTTAAATAAAAGAAAACATTTGTTGAGACCCACCACTAGCTACCCATGTACCAAACGTCTTTCTGTCTTCAACAACAATGACTGAGTAATGGCAATAAATAGCTTTTTTGATATGGCTGCCATGGTCAAAGAGCAAAAGATTAATCAAGGTAAGAACATTAGATAGCGTTGGGCCCCACTGCTTACTACACATGTGCCACGTTTCAACACACGTGTGCGTGCTGTTTTATACTGGCCAGTAAATAATCCATCTGGACCAGACAGTCCAGTGATTGATACTGTGAGCAACCCCCGATCCATTAAGTCGCCTCTAACAACAATCATAGGTTGCTGGGGACCTGTTCTAACCCAGAGTCTCCATCGTGGAGGGTCATGTAAAAATAGAGAAATATTTGGGAATGATCAGATATTTGTAACACAATGAGCATGATGATGAACAGAAATAACATTATCACTTTTCAACAACCTGAGCTTATGTCAGTCTGAAGATCTCGGAGCCATCGCTGAGGAGAATCCTTTGGAAATTCTCTGGAACACATTAATATGAAATACTAAATATACATGTACTTGGTTAGTCATTGCTGACACAAATGATCAATACCTTGGGGCAGACTTAATATGTTATTCGTAAAATCATTTCTCAACATAACAGGGATTTATCTAATTTGAGATTCAGCTGAAAGTCGGCCCCAAGTCTGCAGTAAATTTCAGTAAACATTCCCAAACTGGAATTACAAACTCATGATACATTGTTATACATTGTTATAACTAATGTGACATGCTTTTCACTGACCAATTTGAGCAAAATAACAATTTTCTTTCCTAAGGGCACCTAGTTATAAATCCTGGACAAATTCCTGCAAAAGCTTCCTCAATACTTATGGACTATAAAACAAGTTAAAGGATGCCCTTAAATTAATAAAACTACCACCAAGGCACTGTTTTTCAGCACATGGAAAAATCTACTGGTCCTGTTGAATCTCTACCAGTTCCCATAGTGCAATCAAAGTGAAATCTTCAGCCATCACACAATAAGAGTGTGGATACTAATTGACTTGGTCTGTTTGATGTGAGAGGGCAGAATGATAATTTTAAAGCTTACTTTCTATTTGGACTACAGAAACTTCTAATAATACGAGTGGAGTGTCTCGACTGGACAGATCTATGCAACACCAAAAGTCAGACCTCGCTGCATTCCGAGATTCCTTGCCTGTGTAATATTTTGCAGAAATGTACGGTCACAGTCAGTACTACACAGGTTTTGTCTTACAATGGGCCTGGTGAGCTAGAAATGAACCAGACAGGTGTTTGCATTCCATGTAGAAGAAACATGATCAGGTGACGGTTTACATGGGCCTGCTTTTAATAAGTTAGTAATTGGTTTAAAGTATCCTACTCACTTTACTTGATAGGTCTCAGCAAAACTGACTCTTTTAGAAGATCTCCTTGAAAGTTTTGTCTCTGTCTGGAATAATATAATCAGAAAACAACACAAATCACAAAGAGAAGCCAGGAACAGTAATTGTCAAAATCAAAAACCAGAGTGAGTGAGTGAGTGAGTGAGTTAGTGACCAAAGTGATGCAGGTTCATTTGTATCAGATGTTTACCACATCGGTAAAACCCATGACCATGGGTATGGCACTGACAAACCTAGAAACATAACTGGGGCGAACCATGATTTGAACCCATAGTATAGGTTTCTGGCGTTCCCAAGGGATGCAACTCTGCAAAACAAATTGCAGCACCTTCGGCGACAGGACCATCCTACCCCTTTGCCTTGTCGGAAAAGAATTTGAAAGAATCATGTCCAATAAGGCTACCAATGTAAAGCAATTATACTCGTCTGGAATCATTGTCACAATTTTACAGAAACTACACAGTACACACATACAGGTGAGTATGTCACATGTCAACAGCTAAAATACTTGAGTAGACACTGTCTCTCACCTTCTTGTTCACATCCAGATCTGCTAATGTAGGACGGTCAAGTTTCAAAATCTGGAAAGGACATGTTAGTCAGTTTTGTGGTCATTTTGTTTTTATCATTAGCAGGTTTACAGACTTTTCTTTCAAAACCTTTGTCAGTGGACGCTATAACAAAAAGTTAGATCATTCAAATATTTTGGGAGAGAGTATGTGTGTGTGCCTGTGTGTGCATGTGTATAAAAATGTAAGGTCGGTAGAAAGAGAAATAATTCTCTATTGTTTGTGAGTATTGTGAAAGTTTAAAGCATTTACACGTTACATTACATACACACTGCATGGCATACAAGTTATGAATAGTATTCACTGTGCCTATTAATGAAGCTTTAAGAGAATTTTTCAGGTCATTTAACATGCATCACATCATCTGGGTCAGGGGTGGGCGGGAAGGGGTTTTATTTTTTGTTTTAAACAGATTTTCATACTATGGGAATAATACAAAGGGTGAAATAATGGTTAACCATCAAAGAACTTTGATGCGGGCTTCGATACAATACACAATACATAAGAAGCTGCATCGCGATACTTGACAATGTATGTATTTTGTACTTAAATAACGAAAGAATAACCCTATTTAGGACATTTTGAAGCATAAGTATCGATGTTTGCTGCATGTTCAGAGTTTTGGTCAGTTATTTTGAGAGTTACATCAATACTGAGTGTTGAGGCTTCCCCACAGCATTTGTGTGACATTAGAATAAATGTGATTATATGTGACTCCCCAGGAGAAAAGGGTCCTTATGGACACCAGGATACAATTGTGACCTGATAAGACATTTGACCTGAACTTACTTCAGTGAAGATCGCCAGATGTGAGGACGTACAAAACTAACATATTTTCTCTCGCAAGTTCTTAATGTAATAAAAACATTATTTCATAACCTTCCAGAATACATGTCTACTTTCAATTTATCCGACATTATGTCTAAAAACTGCAATTATTACAAAAACAGTAATAAGTCAGACAATGAGTCCAAATATTTGATGTCATGTATCTCTGTAATAAGGATGAATTGAAGCTTGCAAATTGTAATTTTGTGTTCGGAAGATACTGTAGTTTTAAAATATAATAAGAAGTCAAAATGTGATTTTGCACCGATAAGGTCTCTTATCTCGTGGTTGGTCACATATTATTATATTAATTATCACGATTTAAGTATCATCTGTTTGCATAAAACATATTCATGCTTAAGGGTTTATCCACTAGTAATAGTACTCACTGATGATCTTCTACTACTAGACTTCTTTTTCCTGTAAAAGAGAATCATAACGGAAGACGTTACTGATTGAAACAGAAAAGACATAAAATGAGAAATCATCTTCATATACATCAACTAAAATAATTAATTATTTCAGATGGAATCCGAATTTGCAAGCATACATTCAGTGGAATGACAAATCCAAAAAGGTAACATATACTTGTCATGCTTGAAAAAATTGGGAAGGATCATTTATGTTCACCATGGTGACTTATTCTAAAATAGAACGCATAATAAAACTCTCTTCAAGACAAAATCACATTCCTGCATGTCAACATAATCAGTTTTGAAAAAACAATCTCAAAAACGTTTATTACAATGCACAATGTGATGAAAACTTACCAAACATTTTCATTGTTCTCTGGGACAGTGTCCATTGTATTCTGCAGCAATGAGATTGGTTGCTAAATATACATAAAGCTGAAGAACTCATCTATTTCAATAATATGAACTTTTCAAAATAAATTTGTTAGACTGATGAATTAACAAATGAAGTAAACTTAATTGCTAAATGTTGTGAACAATTTAACACATTTTGAACATTTTGAACAGCATTAAGAGGCATAGGCCATTGAAAACGATTATAGTAAATTGTATGAATAAGTTACCATTTAACCTCATCTATTTGCCATGTTTGCTCACATTTCAACGTGAATAGAAACCTTTCCCCTACATCATGTACATATTTTTTGTAAAATGAATGGGTGTATGTAGTGTATGAAGCAAACTGAATGGTTGAAAAACGTTATTAATAGGATTTGATCGCAGAACATTTTGGATTTTTTGCTGAGGATGAATACTTTTCTTGATAAGCCCCTTCTTATATATGACAAATTTGAAAGAAAGTGCCATCTTGGCTTGGCTTGGGGAAATGGATACCACATAAATTAAATAGCAAGTTGAATCAATCTTAATCATTCTTTATCAGAACAGAAGGCACTAGTTTTTTCGACATTCTGTTGACCAGAAATTCATCTTTTAACGGAAGAATATCATCAGGGATATATCTGGGCCTGCTTAGATGCCAGTATTCTGACCGAAATCTGAAGCATATGTCAGAAAAATATCCAAAATTAGAATTAAAGATTCCCCAATTCATGCTGTTATATTTATGACCAATGGCTTTGAAGAGGCGTCAATTATTCACAATTTGTCTGCTATGACGCTTAATTTAAAATCCTGGTCATCCCTTGTAACTGATGTCCTTGCATTCCAGAGTGATGTCATGCCTGTTAAATTCAAACCCTTAATTATAGGTTTCAGGTATGCCTAAGGGACAGAACTCTGCAGAGCAAATTGCAACACCTTAGTTGACTTGGGACATTCCTGTCCCTATGCAAATCTACAATGAAAATGTCTAAAATATAAATAATTATCAGGAACCACTGGTCTGTTAGCCAGTTGCTAGTGAAAATCCAGGGTGACTAGTTGTTTTCTTTAAATATCTTGGTCACATTTATGAAACATTGGTCACGTCATTCCACCCTGATCACTGCTTATTACTATTAGATACATATCAGGGCCAGATAATAATTCTATTATTACGGAAGTGTAAGGGTGCGAAACTGAACATCTATAAGTTTTATGGCCGTGGGTAGATAGAACGACGCAGTGAAGGATACATTCAATGCTGGAGCATGCACCAAAATAGCATCACACCCCAAACAGAGAAAATTATTTTCACTTTCAAATGTCATTTTGTCAACAAAGATCGGTTGAATATTGAACCTGAAATAATCATCTGATTAATTGCGTTTCTGTATCTAAAAGTAAGAGTTACTCCCAAATTCCCTACTAACTTAACATTGGCATTTTGGGGTCAGACTGACAGAAGATCCTATATGTTTACTCACTTATCAAGGATAAATAGGCCCTACTATTTCTTCAAAACACTTTCTGACAATTCGAAGATTCCGCCATTGACGTGCACATGCGCAGTGAGTATTTCCGGACATATGCCCTTCGGTAAAAACACTAGTGTATTAATCAATTTTAAGAGTGTAATACAAGTAATTATGCACATTACGTTATGCACATTATACATAAGCTGCAAGTTGGCAAATATTTCATTTCTTTGTCTTTCAAAGTGTAGTTTTCTGCTCTTTTTGCAAACTTTAGCCTTGCTTTCTGCCTTCACCTTTGATATGAAAAACTGTTAGCAACAGAACTTATTAAATGTATGACGTCCAACATTGAGACCGTCTGTCGATTGAAAGTAATAAAGACACAAACTTTATTTTTTCCAATTCTGTGTGCGTTAGCTGTTAAAAGAAAAGAATGGCAACATGTGCAAACACGCCAAGATATAAGTGAACAATTACAGAAAGAGTAGAATATGAAGGAAAATGACATTTTTCGAAGAACCCAGTTACAAATCTAAAACATTTGCGTGGATACAAAAGAAATATTGTTATACATTCTTATATAAAATACAAGCATTTCATTGATGTAATAAATTGCTGTTGTAACAGTTTATCGTTGCTGTATTTGCTACTATGATATGGCAGGATTGACACTTGTTACTAATTTTTTTTTAAACATTATCCTTAAAACCATTAAGACAGGCTCAGACCTCCCCATCCCTTTTGTTAGTATATCATATGAATCATTCTTGGAATTATTTACACATGACCTCTTTGTGGACAGTCAAGGCTTCATTACACAAAGTAATCTAAGCTTATGTGAACCTTAACAACTAAGATTAACCACTACCTTAGCCTGAAGTTACACACGTTTCACAAAGCAACCGTAGCTCAATCTTAATTCGGTGTGTCAACGTTAGCGCTGAGGTCCAATTTCCTAAGGCTGTACGACATTGCGTGCTGAAACCATCACTCACTATGCACATGTCAGTTTTCTTTGCCTATTTCCTAAACATTTTTTGAGTGCCGATATTTTTAGACCGATTTACAAAATCGTCAAATGTAATCGTTCGATGGGTTCGATTCCCGACATGGGTACAATGTGTGAAGCCCATTTCTGGTGTCCCCCGCCGTGATATTGCTGGAATATTGCTAAGAGCGGCGTAAAACCATACCTACTCACTTAACAACATCCCTACGTGTTGTTTAAAATACATGTGTAATTGCTGTATTTAATTAATCTAAGGTAGAATCATGCAGCACAACAAATTCTGGATAAACAAGTTTGTGTAGTTCCCCCTCAAATTTAGAAGAAAAAACTTAATCCAACCGCGAAAAGAATCTTAACACACAAAAATCCTGTCTCGACAGTTTATCTGAATGATCATCATACATTACTTAAAAGTGTTAATTTCCTTTGTATGTAGAATATCAAGGGTTAACAATTCTCAAACACGGACAGAAATACCGGTTGTTACTACATGTACTAAGGACGTCATTAATTACACGGGCACGGGTGGCCCAGTCGTCTAATGCGCCGCGACTCGCTGTGCAGAGTTGCGTCCCTTGGAAACCTATGATTGTGGGTTCGAATCCCGGTTCACCCCGATTATGTTTCTAGGTTTGTCAGCGCCATACCCGTGCTCATGGGTTTCACCGAAGTGGTAAATGTCTGAGACCTGCATCACTTCGGGTTTTCCTCCCACATTAAGCTGACACGCCGTGTTATAACTGGAATAATGTTAAAAGCGGCGTTAAACCCAACTCACTCACTCATTAAATACACATTCACAATGTACTCTGGGCATCAACTCAATCGTATCTTACTTAAAGTTCCTTAAATCCTTATTTAATACTTCAACTGTTAATTCCAACCAGATAGTAGCAGTACATTCACTGGCATTAACACATGTTAAAGCTTTCCAGCCTTCGCTTATGAATTAATGTCGACCGTTTTCTTCGGGGAGTGTAGGGGGCGTGTTCAGCTCCAAAACAAGGTATGTCGCGTCATGGGAAATTTGGAAAATAAACGTTACTTCAACTGTATGGTTTCGCTCAAAGAATTGTTTAATTGAATATCCATGCCTCGGAAATTATGCGCAGACGAAAATTAGCCTACTCGTGCATTTCATAATTGACACTGAACAAGTTTCGCTGCCCCGTCCTTAGGTGACATTGTAGATTAAATATCTCACATACAAGTGTTAAAAGGTATACATTTCCTATGAACACACAATGCTATTTACAAAGTTGTCAAATGTAACACATGTTACTTTCTTTGTAAAGTACAGATTCTCGTACTTTTTTTTTTATCTAGACTACTAGTTGTCGGACTTTCATTTTTTAGTCGAAGCCTCGGTGGCTGAGTGGGTTAGATCGCTGACTTTGTGTGCTGGCGATTAGGTGGCTCGCTCTGGCAGTGTTGGTTAGAATCCCGGACGGGACTCGCCCCCCAAAAAGTACGAGAATATGTACCTTACGAAGAAAGTGTTATCCCTAATATAACATTGGTTATACATTTCCTGATATTGTGAAATGAATAATTACATTAAGCACATGAAGCTGTGAAGATCCGGGGTAGAATAGGTCTTCAGCAACCCATGCTTGCCGTAAAAGGCGACTAAGCTTGTCGTAAGAGGCGGCTAACGGGATCGGGTGGTCAGGCTCGCTGACTTGGTTGAAGCATGTCATCGATCCCAATTGCGTGGATCGATGCTTCATGATATTAATCACTGGATTGTCTGGTCCAGACTCGATTATTTACAGACCGCCGTTATATAGCTGGAATATTGCTGAATGCGGCGTAAAACAACAAACCAACCAACATGAAGTTATATGATATTATGTTTTCTTTAACTAATATCGCATACATATATGTGTGGAACGTATGGTATCTCGGAAGTCATAAAAATATTAACTTTGTCAAGGTGACACGCACGTTGAAACAAACATGTTATTGGCCAACTATCACCCCCACCGATTGATTATATGGACCCAGGAAAGGCAGTTCTTACAAGTGACGAATGATAGTCTCTCCTCAGATTGTGTAACAGCTTCAGAAAATTGTTTTCTGTTTATATTTAAGATATTGTATCATGAAAATATTTAAGAAAGGTACATTTAAGTGTTAATAGATGCATTTAGGTGTTAATTGATCTCAGAAATCTATTTCGCAAAAGCGTAAACAAATTAAGTCATACACATGATAACTTGTTGTTAGGAAAACCCTCTTCGTTGACATTGAAAGTTACCGCTATGCAGAGCATACGGCATTTCGTTATCTCGTCGCTTCCACGAGCAGTAACGGGCCGGTACTTGTCAACGACAGCAACGTTAAATATGCCAATCAAGGTAAAGACGCTTTGATGTCGCTTAACATTTCTATTTATTATATGCAGTTAGTTTTTTTTAGACCCTAATAGGGGTAGACCGGTCATGCTCGGCTTTTGTTTTTAGCAGGTGCCCGTTGCATCGAACATTCCTTACAGGTGAACCTGGATCTGAGTTGATATGCAAATGAAGTGTCTACAGTAATGTGTCATGACTTCCTTGTAATAAATCTTACTATAAGATCTTGTGTTTAAAATTGGGATAGTAAAGTTTGTAACGGATACTGATATTTCATACCACAAATACGTCAAATAGTGTGCATGTGTCAATAACATTGATTAAAGGATATATAGATCTATATATACAAATGTAACGGTATAGGATCGAGTCATTCATGTCTCTCAGAAAACTCATTACCCAATACTTCCATGAATTTTTAGTGATTGTCTCGATAATTTTCAATTCATATTTGACGAATGCAATACACGATATTATCAATACTCTCCAGTAATGACCTATATTATTGATTGGGCAAGTGTGGGCTGTGTATTATTGATTTGAGAGAGGTGTGATTCAGCAATTTTCCATAGCTAGCAAATTATAAAGAATTGAGGTCCGGGCCATTTTGGTACAATGACATACACCCATATCAAGAGGTTATAACCTTGCTTCACTTGGATCCGGGTCAGTGGGGTAACCTTAGCTGCCTAGATGCAAAAGGCTTTATGCCTCAGAAATTATCTGCTTTACCAGCCTGAGATATTGTCAATGAGACAACTCTGCTCACTCACCTACTGTTTGAAATTTTGAGGGTGATATAGTCTTACAAGTTTGTGTTACAAGTTTGTAATAATAAAATTAGTAATGTAGTAAATATGTTTTGTTTTTGAAGTAATCTTAATCTGTTTGTTGATTTGTAGTGTGATGGATGACATAATTTAGATGAATGACTGTCCTTATGCCTCAGAAATAATCTGGTTTACCAGTCTGAGATATTGTCAATGAGCCGATTCTTGCTCACTCACCTACTCCCATCTGACTTTTAATTCAAGTGGGGTAGGCTATCAAGATAACTATCCACATCAAACACGCCAGACAAAGGATTGAATGTGAGAATTAGTAGTGAGAAAAGTGTGGCTGTGTACATCAGTTAATGTTGATCACCTGCCACAACAATCCACCATGATCTCCTTCCTTCAGGGGGTGGTGGGTTAGCCTAGTGGTTAAAGCGTTTGCACGTCAAGCCATAGACCTGGGTTCGATTCCTCACATGGGTACAATGTGTGAAGCCCATTTCTGGTATTCCCCGTCGTGATATTGCTGGAATATTGCTAAAAGCGGCATAAAACCATACTCACTCACTCAACCCCTTTGATCTAATATCTGTTGAATTCTAGTTGATTCTCATTGACAAGCACATACCTGTTCTGACCAAACTCCCAGTGGTGGTTCACAATCAAGATAATTTCATTTTGATGTTTGAATACTTTGGAGATTTTATTCATATTAATGATGTGGCAGTTTTGACACCAAATAATGTCTCTCCCATGAATCATAGTAACTTCATACCAAGTAAGTATCCCAATAGCATATGTAGAATTTATCACCTCAACTCATCTCAAACTGTTACCTTCTGATTGTCAAGCAACAATTCTGATTAAACAATAAAATTGTATGTATTTTTAGACTGACTGAAAGTTTTTGCACATTGTCCGTTCAGTAGCTGTCCATCCATTGTGAACTTTGACATTTTCAATCTCTGAAACTACAAGGCCTATGGAGCTGAAACTTTGTATGCATGATCCTAGATATGATATGCCTTGTGTCTTTATTTTCTTAACTTTCATGTCATGTCTATGTTGTGTCATATTTCAGTGAATTAAAAAATGCAGTCTGTAATTATACAGTTATTGTCTCGGTGTGAATTTGTTGATGTATCCTGTACATTAAATCCATTCCATTTTGGTTTTGCAGAAATGTGCAACCTCACATTGCTCGGCTGATTTATGACATAGCTTGTAGAGATAATATATGACTCAGTGCAGCTTATGCACTCGATGTCCCCAGCAACCCTGTTGCTAGGCTCACATCACTGAGTTTTTTTGTTGCTTGTACTTCATGCACAATAGTTCACAAATAACGTCACAGGATGTAGTGAAGTGTTTGTAAAATTGATGGTTTCTGAATTCTAAAGAAAAGGCTTCAGGAGATCCTTGTCCCCAGGTCGAAAAATCCAGTCTAGTCACTGCTCCCCTCCTTTAATTTCCAGCTTCCGTCACCATTCGGCAAAGTCCGGCAGGAGTCATTGTACATTGTGTCTTTGCCCAGAGTGTCTTTGCATTCATTGTTAAAGAATTAGTGACCCGTATATTCTTACATGGTAACTCCTAGTTCAAGCTCCTCACAGCGATAGCTCGTTCGCGGAGCTCTCTAAACTATCACTGCCACCAGTCAGAACACCCCACTGTGAAAGATGACCACAACCATGTTTGGAGTTGAACTCGCAACCGAATGACTGTTATGTTTACAAACAAGTGACGACTGTTGTGTCGCCGAATACACTTACCCCTGCTAAATTATTTCTTTGTTTGTCAATTTAAATTTCTATTTCATTAAAACAATCATGTAACTGATATAGTAAGAATGTAAGGGAGAAGTTGATCGATTTTCCATCAGTCTGCAATCTCGAACCAATTTGATTATACAAACAACAAAGTAAATTTATCTGGAAAACATGGTCAGTCGTAAACCTTTTCAAAACGAACTATGATGGCATTCCCAAAGACAAAAAGTATGAACATTACTACATTTGGGGTTGGAGGGCAAATTTCATTCTTGTAATGGCCGTGCCCACACTGGTGGCAGCGATGTTACCAAGAGTGTAACGAAGTTGTCACTTGCTGGGAAGGAGCTTGCTCCGAGTTGTCAAACAATGGCTGGTATATTGGTTGTCACTCATTTTGTCTGTCATTCCAGGAAGGAGACAAACTCCCAGCAGTTGACCTTTATGAAGGTGACCCTGGCACCAAGGTGAACACAAAGGACTTGTTTGGTAAAGGAAAGAGTGTCATCTTCGCTGTTCCTGGAGCGTTCACACCAACATGTTCAGAGGTAAGACATCCATGGTTTGTCTGCAGGTGTCAGAGCTGCAGATAAGCATCTTATTTGTGTAAAATACCCCCACCCACCCCCCAAAAAATATTCAAAACTCAATTACTTTCAATTAACTTGCGTACAGAAACTCATGCATTAAATGAAGAACTCAAATGTATAAAAACAGAGCGCATAAATACAAAATGAAGCTTTTTCGGAAGGCGTACAAAGGAGATAATTTCCAAAACACAATTACGAGCTAATTTACTTTCCGAGTCAAGCCTATATATTTAGAACAGTTATATACATCTAAAACATTATTTCCTTTTTTTTAAAATCTTAAAATGTTCATTAATTTGGGGAAAAACTCAGTAGATTGATATATAGATGAGTGAAAAAATATTGGTTACCCAATGAAAAATGTAATAATTTAATTAAAATAGAAACCCTCGAGTAAAAACTCAATTGCTCAAAAAGTTATCTGGAGCTCTGAGGTGTGATAGCTTGGTATACATGAAGCATCTTTCAAAATATCTTTCTACATGTCTGCATGAAGGATTTACAAGGGGTCAGACTATGTGGAGGGGGTGGTGGGGAGCTGTGTATTGATTCGATTGTATAACAATGCAGTTATTGTGATTCTCAGGTCTGTATTGTGATTCGAATTGCAATATATTGCCACCAAGTGCTATTGTTTCTTCCACTTTCGACTTGCTCTTGTTTCGTGACCAAAATAGAGCCATATATTGGCTTTTCTGCTTTTGTTGTGAATGATCTGGTAATCAATGGGCTTGGCTGCCATTTGTAACCATAGTAATGCTCAATCAAGGGAGTTTACACATTGACACATAGCAGTGCATACCAGAAATATTATTCGTCAGAGATTAGCATCACCAGGATTTAATGCATTTATTTCATTATTGAAGAACCCAAAGAAATAGCTTTATTTACATATTTGCCCAAATATTCCAACCCATTTGGCATGTTTAGAGCACATCGCAATATGTATGGTTGAAGGTTTCGATCACCGTGTACTGGTAAACCGGTAGTACTGTGCAGCTTAGCCTATCATACAGACCCTGAAACAAATATATCCAATACAGCCCATGCAAGTCTATAATGTTTAGCAAGTCTAGATTACTGCAGTATCTGAAAATGAAGAAAGTCTCTGGGCTCCTTTTTATTATATTTAATAACTATAATTTAAGAACTGGGTTTTTTTTCTGTAAAATATGTTCATTTCAGAGACTAGATGTTGTCTATGTACAGCCCTAGCAAATTTGGAAAAGCAAAAACATTATGATTTTTTAAATTTTTTTAAATGCTATTTTTGCATTCGGAAGTATTGTAACATTGCATTGAATGCAGTAATACCAAAGTCACATGTACACAGTTATGAAATATTAAGTTATAGTTTATGATAATCTTATAACTTTGGATATCTGTAATTCCAATTTGGGAATTTTTGCAAACATTTTCGTTGCTGAGGACTTGGAGCTGAATATCGGCCTTTGAGCTTGCCTTGAAATATCACTGGAGATTTGTCAAATTTTATTACCTTAAAATATTGTAAAACCAACAAGGGTTTTGTTAATTTTGAATATATCTTTTTTTGTTGGAGTGTCCAAACATATTTATGTAAAAGTTTGTAATCTTGATAGAGACTTGCAAATGAGTGTTTAATATTAGGAATAATGTATTAATGCATTGACACATCTGATCTATTTTGATCAAATTCAAAACTGTTTTGATCATGACAATATCTGTGTATGGCTTGTATTGGAGACAGTTGAGACGGTACATGCAGAACCCGTGAAGATTCCGGGGTAGAACAGGTCTTTAGCAACCCATACTTGCCGCAAAAGGCGACTATGCTTGTCGTAAAAGGCGACTTTCGGTATCGGGTGGTCAGGCTTGCTGACTTGGTTGATACATGTCATCGATCACAATTGCGTGGATCGATGCTCATGATGGTCAATCACTGGATTGTCTGGTCTAGACTCGATTATTTTACAGCTGGAATATTGTTGAGTGCGGCAACAAACAAACAAACAAAACGGTAAATGCAGTCGAAGATAAACAGTTTGGAATATTTTGACAAAGTTCATTTGGTCATAAGTCCTTGGGTCCCCCCTTCAAAGCAACCTTAGTGCTAAGGCGATTATGTAACTGAAATACTTTGACAAAAACTTACAATGATCATAGCACTAAGATCGCTTTGTAGAAAAGAGCTCAGGTCCTCACTCAAACATTGAACTAATTGCAGATAAATATACAGTTGTAAATACGTTACCGGTACCCTTTACATTCCTCAACAGGTTTTTTGGCTGTAATGTCTCATTATGTTCACGTGTTTTTCACTTTCAGGTCCCTTTCAAACACAATGACTTTCCTGATGAGATTACATATCCTGAATGTGTTGTTAATGTTAATGGGATTTGTATATCAATAGACCTACTGCCTACTGCTCTCTCTGTGGAGTCTCATATACATGTATATGACCAGTTATCGCCAGTTATATGACCAGTTATTGCCAGTTTTGTACATGTTATTTCTAAAATATTCCCCCTGCATGAAGTTAACTCTGCCAATAATTTTTATTTGTGTGAAACTGAGCAAATGTGCTTATTTCTGTGCGTGGAAAAAGTTTCTGTAGATTTCTGGACCCACTTGCACAAAGCAATCTTAGCACTACGACTATTGTAAGCCTATGTTAAAGTGTGGGAGCTACGATCATCTTAGTGCTAAGATCGCTTTGTGCAAGTGATCTTAGCGCTAAGATCGCTTTGTGCAAGTGGGCCCTGGTATAACGCGACAATAGGGAATCAGAACAGTGTAAATGGAAATTTCCCTTTGACCAACTGTACCATTTATTGCCATCGTCTAAACAGCAAGTGCCACATGATCACGCACACTGTTTCCTTTATACAATTTTTTTTTTTTTTCTCTGGAAACGCACTCACACTGGAATTTTTATGTTCATTACAATTATTAACAATTTGTCCTCTGCAAATTGACGTACACCCAAATTTGATTTGATTTACACATGCTTATCCTCCACACTATGTGCTATGGATTTCTCGATATATACAGGGTTATATATTTTTTGAAAAACAGCTCAAATTGGTTTTGGAATTGTAATTTTGGGAAAATATGACAGACAGGTAGTAAGCTATGACAGAACAGAATGTGCATCATCGTGTTATTGGATTTTTCTTTACGCATGAATTAGTCACGTGACGCATGTGTGTCATACTGATGTCACAATGGGATGAAATGGGATAATACATTAATTCATTTAATTGTTACACGAGTTTCGTGAAATCACTATGACACACGTTTAAGTGTAATAATTTCTTTATAACTCATTATTTCTTAATGATTTAAGCTCCCCTTTAGAATAATGTAATGATCACAACCGCCGTCTTTGAAAACCACTATTGTCAAATTACGTCAACAACCTTTTAGTGCTTCCGACCTCACATCACAATAAGATTTGAATGAGGTCAGTGATGATGACTTTAACAATACACTGGTGCATGTAAAGCGATATTTGCACTAGTGCACATACCATTTTCATGAACTTGGTTATTTTCAACCTTAGGGGTAATAAACATTAGTCTCCCAGACCCTTAAGAATGAAATAAAGGACGCACACCACCTACAAACAGGATGAATCCATGCAATATTAGAATAATATAAAATTTACATACTGCAGTTTTCATCGGAGCATGTTTGTAGCAGGGTCATTTCAATTAAACACAGCCTGGGCATAAATATTTTTTTCAGAAGCTAAAACAGGAAGTTGCCTCTTATAGTATCAGCACATACATAAGCGAAATGGGGAGGAGGTGGCAGTGACTGCAAGTCTTTAAAAAACTACAGTGGGGGGGGGGGGCATTAAAACACTGTTCAGCATGGGAAAGGGCTGGGAGGATGCAGTGAGGAAATGCCAAGTACAGGTCACAGCAGGCAAATGTCATCCCATTTATGTAATAACTTTTTTTTATTATTGTGATTTGAAAATATCCGTATACCAGGGTTTGGCACGAGTCCAAATTTACTACCCTGGTATCGAACCACCTATTACCTGACCCCACCTTGGGGCACACTGCAGGTCTCAAGAGTTGGGAACAAAATATCTGATTGGGAATTTAGTTACATTTATCAAGCGATCAGATCATGTGTACACTGAAGTTGACAAAAGCCTTATCTTAACTCAAACATATACAAGTCAAAAGGATTGTGTGTGTCGTCAGAAAGAAATGCGAACATTAGCTTGTAGTGTAACCACTGAGCTATAGTAAGTTTTTATCATGTTTTAAACAATGTATCGCGTGACTAACAGCAGGTTCAGGTAGTGCTGTGGATAATCGGGTCCTACTCTGGACCTACCCGACCCGAGTACCTGAGTTACCCATCACAGGCTTACTGAATACAAACTCCAATGTGTTTTTAAGGCCAAGTAAAAGTAAATATTAAACAAATAATTGAAGACAGAAAACAAGTCTTACAGGGGTAGAAATTAACACTAGCCTGCAAGCCCAGGCCAATTTTATTTATGTAAAGGTATCCTCAGGGCTGGTAAAATTTTTAGAAATTTGGGGGATATTGCTGCATGTTGTCACAATTCGGGATAGGAGACTTTCTTGGTTAACGCCTATCCCACCAAGAAAATCCACTTAGCAAAGCTGTAGCCAACAAGCACGTCATTCAAGAGGGAGTTGCACCTTGAATGTCACTGTAACTTAGGTGCATCACATACAACATGCTGTATTATCGAAAGTAATTTACACAGCCTTTGGTCAACATGAAAAGTCTGTACATGATTACACTGTCTATGTATCTAGTGTTCATTCTATTTGGGGGAAAAGGAGGGTCCCTCTTGTGATAAAAAGGTGGAGTTTTCCTTAACAAGGTGTGTCAGAATGACAAACACAAATATAATTTTACATCCTTTTGCATCCCCCCAAATCCTGTGAAGATCCGGGTCAGAATAGGTCTTCAGCAACCCATGCTTGCTGTAAAAAAGGCTACTCTGCTTGTCAAAAGAGGTGACTAACGGGATCGGATGTTCAGGCTCGATGACTTGGTTGATGCATGTCATCGTATTTCAATTGCGTGGATCGATGCACATGTCAATCACAGGATTGTCTTGTTCAGACCCGAGTATTTACACACTGTCGTCATATAGCTGGAATATTGCCGAGTGCGGCGTTAAACAATAAACAATATGGCCAAGTCGTCTAAGCTGCTTGAAGTCTTTGTAAAATTGCATTCTGTTGGAGTGCCAGGAACCTATGAGGGAGGGTTTGAATCCCAGTTTAACTCCTGTGGATACCAGCACGGTACCAGTGCTCCTGGGTTTCACCAAAGTAGTAAACATCTAATGTCTGAGACCTGCAACACTTCAGGATTTTCTCTCACAAGCTGACAAGCAGTGATGAAACTTAAACCTTGTTTAAAGAGGTGCTTAACCACACTTGGGTCGTGACAAGCATCTTGAATTTTGTGTTTTAGTTGAAATAATGGTTATGTTACAAGTGCATTGTTTTATATATCAAGTTTCATTGTGTTTGAAACTGTGCACCATGACAGATTCACTGTAGTATTATTAGTAATATTAAGAATTCGGTGGTACCATATTTTGTTAAGTAAATTAATAAAATGCGGTATTGAGAATGAACCATGTTTTTGTTTCAGAAACATGCTCCTGGCTTTATCCAGAATATCTCCCAGCTGAGGGACAAGGGAGTGACAACAGTGGCGTGCATAGGTGTCAACGACCCCTTCGTCATGGGCGCCTGGGGCAAGGCACTGGGAGCAGATGACAAGGTGCACAACTCTTAAAGTATCTGGGACAAGTTAACGCAGCAATATTATTGTCATGCATATTAATGCTATTTCTACATTGAATTTGCAACATACTCAATTCGGATTTGTCAATCAGAGGTCAATCAAATCACAATAACCACCTCTGATTGAAACAGGCGCAGCACTGTGGAAGAAGAGAACCTCTTTCTCAATCATTGTTGGGAGGAAGTGTGAAATAATTATATGTACAGTGACAGGTTATAAGTTTCACTTGTTTAAAGTATATGTGGCAATAGATGATGGGAAGAAAAACAGTATAGAAATTGACGGAGGGACAACAATGAACTTTGGGGCCTTTCTATATCCGACTGTGACATCATATGTTTTGTGTCACAATGGGTGATGTATAGGGATTTTGCTGGAGGCAAATGTAATGAGGTCATTTTCATGATTTCAGCAAAGTTTGATGGGATGTTATTCCATACCATCACTAAAATTGAAAATATATGGACTGAAACTCTAAAACCATTATCAGAGCTCCAGATAAGCTGCGTATCTGCGTAAAATACGCATCAGAAATGCAGAAATATGCAGTAAAATACAATCCAAGCGTATCAAATACGCAACGAACATTACAGATACGCTACAAAAATAAAACTTGTGCCTATCATCAAAATATTGTGAAGTAACCCTGCGTATTCGATTAGCAAACAGCAACTTATTTTGAAATTATAAACGGACATTTCGTCAACCTTGCCAAACTCCACGATGACAGTTACATCATGATCATTTGCCATCACACTTTCTTGTGGAAGTATCGTGGTAGTTTTGAGTCCTATAAAGCTCTCGAACCCACACGACACCAGTTTGCAGGGACTAGATGAATAGTGTTTTTAAATATTTACCTTAAATACCCACATGTGTAAAAACTAGTGGGCAACAGAAATTTGAATACCCAGATACAATTACTGATACCCAATGATTTTAAAATGCATGGGTAAAATACCCACAGCACCAAAAGCTTATCTGGAGCTCTGCATTATTATAGTTGCATGCAGTGTAGAACTAAACCTTGCAAGGCTTTCTTCATTTCTTAAGGGGTGCCAACTTCGTATTGGCTTACAAAGTAGCTATGCTACACACTTTCTGTGTCTGTTATAATGGAGAGTATGGTATAATGGTGTAAAACAAAACAAATGTTGACCATACACAACACCATGGTTTGTTGAAAGGGTAGTATTGGCATTTCCTTGATTCAGAAGCGATGGAAGGTAGCACTCCATGGCAGTCCCCTGTTCAATGAAAATGGATTATTCATGGTGTTCCAATCTTTTTGACACATTGTTATGAAATGTTTGTTTGGGATAATGTTGTATCCAAACTATAAATGATATTATTATGATTTATGATGTATTTCATACACCCGTGAAGGTCCGGGTTAGAATAGGTCTTCAGCAACCTATGCTTGCCATAAAAGGCGACTGTGCTTGTCATAAGAGGTGAATAATTGGGTGTTCAGGCTCGATGACTTGGTTGATGCATGTCATTGTAGCCCAATTACATAGATTGATGCTCATGATGTCAATCACTGGATTGTCTGATCCAGACTTGATTCTTTACAGACTGCTATCATTTGGCTGGAGTATTGCTGAGAGTGGCGTTAAAACAACCTCAAATCTTAAGGGGTGGTGGGGTAGCCTAGTGGTTAAATGGTTCGCTCATGACACTGACAGTATGGGTTCAATTCCCCATATGGTACAATGTGTGAAGCCCATTTCTGGTGTCCTCTGTCATGATATTGCTGGAATATTGCTAAAAGCGGCGTAAAACCACATGCACTTACTTGCTGACCCTTGTCTGTGAATATCCAGGGTAGAATAGGTCTTCAGCAACCCATGCTTGCTGTAAAAAGCGACTAAGAGCGTCGTAAGAGGCGACGAAAGCGAACAGGTAGTCAGGCTCGCTGACTTGGTTGATGCATGTCATCGATCCCAATTGTGTGGATCGATGCTCATGATATTCATCACTGGATTGTCTGGTCCAGACTCAATTATTTACAGACTGCCGTCATATAGCTGGAATATTGCCGAGTGCGGCGTTAACCAACAAACCAACCAACCAACATTGTCCATAGTTCCGAGTTTCCATTACTAAATATATATAAGACTTGTATGAACAATTGTTTTTTTAAGCTAATCATATAAACAGCTTTTTGATCTTCCATTTGCATCACTTGTCTGAAATGGGTTACAGGTGCGAATGTTGGCAGACACAGGCGCTACCTTCACTAAGGTATGTTTGGTAGTTGTGTGATGATGATTGTAAGTATGATAATGTATTTGCTGGTTGTGGGATGATACACAGATGCATCAGTCGATCACAATATTTTACTTCTTGATACAAGTATCGATCACAGTCACACACTAAGTAAAAAGTATTGATTATTACCTTAAATGTATTCTTTAATAAATGTTACACCAAACACTTATTACTAGGGAAAATAAGCAGTGGAAATGTAAATATTTTTATCCATTTCGCCACACTTGACACTGTCAACGGTAGATCGTTAGCATGGTTAGTGTGCCAGTTATTTGGCCATCCTGTCTATGAAAAAGATGGCTTATGCACCACAGATTATAGCACATGCATGTATTTTGATACGTATTGGATTGTGAGCAAGGTATTGTGATACACATTGGATCCCAAAGTTGGTGTATTGTTCCAGCCGAGTACAGGCAGTCTGATCGATAGTAAAGATCTATTCAGTTATAAAATGGGTCTTACCTCACAAAATGCATCTTATTACTTGAGCACCTTGATTTAAAATATGAAAATGTTTGGAAAATATCTGTGGATGCCCAGTTTACAGTACAAATGTTTTGTAAATCCTGCAATCGACCTAAATATGCACGGATGTCAATTTCGTTATGTGATGTTGATTGTACTTTGCATAGACTCATTCAGCAAGGGTGGAAACTGGACTTTTAAAGTGAGTTAACTCCCTTGCCTAGGGAAGATGTCCCATCGAATGACCTGCAAAGTTGATATTTTTATGGGTGGTCCATTTCACGAGAGAACTTTATCGGATCACGAGATGAGTAAAACATGGTATTTGATAAGAATGCTGACTAGTGTTTTTTGTATTATGTATTTTCTTTCTGGTCTTCAGGATCTTACTCTGTTGTTCTACTGAATTGTTATTCAGCTTCAGTGAGATGTCAATTTAATTTTTTCAGATGCCGTATTCGACGTAATAAGCGCCCTGCTCTAATAAGCGCCCACAGCGATATAATTGCTGATATATTGGCCAGTGAACAATCCCAATTAGCACCCTTTCCGATTGATTAATGTACACAAGACTTATTTATTCACGTAAAATACGCACTCGTGTGTTATATGCACTCTTAATTATGGGCAATTAAATTCTGGAAAAATATATCTGTCGTATATAAACATTTCAGGCTGTCAGCGTAACCCACGAAATTTATCTTTCAATTCTGTTTTTTTTCCACCAAAATAATATTCTCATAAGAATCCCCCTCCCCCCCATTTCTAATTTTGAGAGCGCCCTGGGCACTTATTACGTCGAATACGGTAAATATATATTCTCTTCACGTTATGCATTATTTAACCCCATATTTCAGTATTTGCATACAGTGTAATCATTATGATAGCTGACAGAAGAATCTGACACTAATCCAACATCAAATAATGGATAAGATATACAGGGGACATAGGATTTAGCATCATTAGGACCAATGACTAAAATACCCTAGAATTCTTGTAAAAATCGCCCAGTGAGGATTGAGGATAAAATTGTCTTCAACAACCCAATGTTGCTGTAAGGCAACTATGCTTGTCATAAGAGACGACTAAAGGGATCGGATGGTCAGTATTGCTGACTTGGTTGATGCATGTCATCGTATCCCAATTGCATTAATTGATGCTCATGACATCAGTCAGTGGATTGTCTGGTCCAGAGTTGGTTATTTACAGACCACTGTCAATATTGCGACGTTAAACAACAACAAACAAACAATAAAAGAAATCTTGTATAAATCAGACTTGGAAATTAACACATATCTGCTCTGAGACAAGAGGGGTATCAAATTCAGGTAAAAAAATTAATTGAAAGAAAATTTATCTAAACTTCAATTTTGCACAATTCCTCACAATAAGTGGATAGAGATATTGAATTGTGGGCCTGTAGAAGCCATTGTGTCCTCCCAAACCAGTCAGGTAGTGGTGATGGCTCAATAAGGAAACACAGGAGATAACGCCGAGTGTGAACCCTCCATACTTCCTCCTACTCTCACTGCGTCACTGTTTCACTATCAGGGCATTTCCTTGTCATCAGTGACACAAGCATCTCTGATGCAGCCTTAAAAGTTAAAAAATAATAATTTAGCTCCAGATTTACTGGAAAAAAACTCCTATACCTTGCTGAGTAGGAAACAAATAATGTGTCCTTATCTTGCAGACATATTGGAATATTTAGAGAAATTATACATTGTTATAATTTACAACTTCTTTTATTAACACTAAAACTACTAACTGTGAACGTGCTAATAGTTTTTGTCATAAAAATAAAGAGCACCTGTTATGTTGGAAAAAATTATTCAGCTCCTAAATATAATAAAGTATATGATCTAAACCAAACATCCTGACCCTGAAAATCAAATGGCTGCTGCATTATTGATGAATACAGGTGGCACATAGATATGTGTGCCTCAAAGATGGCAGTCTGGTTGGGCGCTTCTCAATTTATTGAACTGTTTCAGAAAGTTGGAATGGACATGGACCGGACCGAACGACTTGGGGGAATTAGATCCAAGAGGTTAGTTCGGCACTAGAGGAAACTAATGAATTCATTGTATTTCAGAAAATTGAGATGGATGTTGACTTGACGGCAGTCTTAGGGGGAGTAAGGTCCAAGAGGTTAGTGTAAAATGTCGCCTGGGAGTGTCTCCCGTAGACGTAGCTGCTGTTGTAGATGCTTGCCTTTAACTCTGTCTTTTCCATGCTATGGGACTGTAACACTTTCCTGTTTCCATGATTAACTACACGTCACTATCTGATGAGATAACAACACAACGTTCTGGAATGTATTGAGATAACTCCCTGTATCCATGTATTACTACACATCACAGTGTCCTACATGTAACAATACAACATGGTGGGATGTATAGGTGATAACTCCCTGTATCCGTGTATTACTACACTCACAGTGTCCTACATGTAACAATACAACATGGTGGAATGTATTGAGATAACTCCCTGTATCCGTGTATTACTACACTCACAGTGTCCTACATGTAACAATACAACATGGTGGAATGTATTGAGATAACTCCCTGTATCCGTGTATTACTACACTCACAGTGTCCTACATGTAACAATACAACATGGTGGGATGTATAGGTGATAACTCCCTGTATCCGTGTATTACTACACATCACAGTGTCCTACATGTAACAATACAACATGGTGGAATGTATTGAGATAACTCCCTGTATCCGTGTATTACTACACTCACAGTGTCCTACATGTAACAATACAACATGGTGGGATGTATAGGTGATAACTCCCTGTATCCGTGTATTACTACACATCACAGTGTCCTACATGTAACAATACAACATGGTGGAATGTATTGAGATAACTCCCTGTATCCGTGTATTACTACACTCACAGTGTCCTACATGTAACAATACAACATGGTGGGATGTATAGGTGATAACTCCCTGTATCCGTGTATTACTACACTCACAGTGTCCTACATGTAACAATACAACATGGTGGGATGTATAGGTGATAACTCCCTGTATCCGTGTATTACTACACATCACAGTGTCCTACATGTAACAATACAACATGGTGGGATGTATAGGTGATAACTCCCTGTATCCGTGTATTACTACACATCACAGTGTCCTACATGTAACAATACAACATGGTGGGATGTATAGGTGATAACTCCCTGTATCCGTGTATTACTACACATCACAGTGTCCTACATGTAACAATACAACATGGTGGGATGTATAGGTGATAACTTCCTGTATCCGTGTATTACTACACATCACAGTGTCATACATGTAACAATACAACATGGTGGGATGTATAGGTGATAACTCCCTGTATCCGTGTATTACTACACATCACAGTGTCCTACATGTAACAATACAACATGGTGGGATGTATAGGTGATAACTCCCTGTATCCGTGTATTACTACACATCACAGTGTCCTACATGTAACAATACAACATGGTGGGATGTATAGGTGATAACTCCCTGTATCCGTGTATTACTACACATCACAGTGTCATACATGTAACAATACAACATGGTGGGATGTATAGGTGATAACTTCCTGTATCCGTGTATTACTACACATCACAGTGTCATACATGTAACAATACAACATGGTGGGATGTATAGGTGATAACTCCCTGTATCCGTGTATTACTACACATCACAGTGTCCTACATGTAACAATACAACATGGTGGGATGTATAGGTGATAACTCCCTGTATCCGTGTATTACTACACATCACAGTGTCCTACATGTAACAATACAACATGGTGGGATGTATAGGTGATAACTTCCTGTATCCGTGTATTACTACACATCACAGTGTCCTACATGTAACAATACAACATGGTGGGATGTATAGGTGATAACTTCCTGTATCCGTGTATTACTACACATCACAGTGTCATACATGTAACAATACGACATGATGTGTGTGTCTGGTGGGGCGGGGTGGAGCAGGATGGGGTGGGATGGGATGTGTGATGAGGGGGTGTATCAAACCTTATTATCATGATACAGATTGTATTGTTACAGTCCTAGTGTCCATACTCTTCTCGTACACTGTATTTAATCTTCACCACATGCATGCTAATATTTTGTCCTACCTGTTTTCTTTTATTGTCTGTTCTTTAGTATTGTGTTTTGCACAAGTGATCAGGGTAATATGAGACAAAAACTACATTAAGTTCTACAGCTTAAACTCCATAACCAGCTAAACCCTGACCTTTCTGAGGTAGTGATAAGATATATGAGGTAAGATTTAACATGAAACCAGCATTGTATTTGATAAGACTGATGTCAGATAATCAGTGGACAAAGTTTCTCACTTTGGCAGGAGTATCCGGAGACGTATTCTACTCAAATAATTTCGGGAACATCTGTTTCAATCAGCCATGACAGATTAATTATTTGGTGGTCCTAAACTTTTTCTTTGAGTAGTATAATTGGTCATATCCAACATAGTCAATTAAATTTTGAAGTAGTGTGGAATGTGAAACAGCTAGATATTTACTGGTCTTGGAATAATGGATTTGTGGCAGCTTTTAACTCTGTTTGGTATATAACATCACCAAATATTTAATATTAACATTAATATGATTTCTATTTTGAATATCCATGAGGATTATAGTTATCTTTTTTTTTTTAATAAAATTTTATTTAGCCAGCTTAGTTTGACTGGCCTGCTATTTTGACGAACCTACAAGGGATATGGATTTTTCAGTATTAATCTATTAAACAAAGGTATCAAGGTAGAGTTTAGAAGATTTGTCCTTGTAGATGTGGTTTGTTGTTGGCTTCTTAACTTTTGACTTCTTCACTTTCACGGTCTGTACTTTTCATTGTTTTTCATCTGTTTAGCAATTCTTGAATAAATAGTCTGGAAACTAACACTACTTTTTCTAACAATACTAACATTAAGACATGAAAATATATGAATGAAATTTATTAACAAGAACAAAGCCTGTTATTTAAAATAACTCTATAACTATATACATAAGGCATTTTGTTTTTCTATACAAAATTATCAATTGTAATTTATCAACAGTAACTGATACAATTTGCCAGTAGTTAGAGGCCATTCTGTCCGCTATGTTTTTTAATAGCCATGTCTGCAATGATTTCCTCTAGGTATGCGATGGTTGTGCAGGATGGCGTTGTGAAGGCCATCAAGGCCGAGCCGGACAACATTGGTCTTGCCTGCAGTGCTGCTATTGAGGTGATGAAGCTGTTGTAGGAAGCACTGCTATTGAGGTGATGAAGCTGTTGTAGGAAGCACTGCTACTGAGGTGACGAGGCTCTTGTAGGAAGCACTGCTACTGAGGTGACGAGGCTCTTGTAGGAAGCACTCGTGTGGTGACAGTGAGACCAGGCTTTTTTCATCATTTGGTTTAAGGATTCCAAGACCTTAAGAAATGGAAAGTGGAGAAAACATCAAGTCTCCAAAGTACTTTTTTAGTTTTCTGACAAATGCAAATTTGACTTACCGGTATTTAACAGAAGTGAAGTTGTATTTATGACAGAGATGTTTTGTTTCATAAAAATAAAAGGTACAGAATTTAGAAGTAATTTTATTCATCTGGATAATAAGGCAGTCTGTTTTTACCTCCAGATGTTGGAAGGATACATTTATCCTTACTGTTACCTGTCCTTCAGATAATTTTTTGTTTAATTAATTTATCAGTGCTCCCTGCACAACTCCCTAGCTGTCGTCTCTACGTTCCATCCAGCTTACTTTATTTAAACACATTTGTGTCTGGTTTTAATTTACTGGGATTTTGTTACAGCCATTTTACAGGTTGTGAATTTCAAGTCGACATTTCCTTGGTTTGACTTTTATACTCAAGATCTTCATATACCTTTATCGCACAAAGGATCTGGAAGTATGTATCTGGGAAAAAATGTGTGTCTCTCAGTCAGAATAAACAAACATGTTGATATTTTGTTAGAGTGTACATAACTCTTCATGTCACGGATATCAATTGGACAGCCTGCCATATCTAATCAGTTTCCAATGGGAACATGATGTTACAATGTTGGACATGACTTTTCAATGTTTCTTGAAAAACCCTTATGGAGTGATTCATGTTTTATGCACAATTTTTATCAGCATCTATAAAGATCTTAAAGCTGACAATTCCAAATCCAAATTTTAGATGTTTTTTTTGTGGATACTTGCCGGTCTGATCACACATCTTCTGATCACATTTCCAAATGTCTAGTTGTTTGTTTGAAATTTCCAGGGTGATAGTCTTACAAGATTGTAATATTAAAATTATTAATGTAGAAAATGTGTTTTGTTTTCAAGTAATCTTAATCTGTTTGATTTGTAGTGTGAAGTGGATGACATCCACACCACACGCCAGACAAAGGATTGAATGTGAGAATTAGTAGTGAGAAAAGTGTGGCTGTGTACATCAGTTCATGTTGATCACCTGCCACAACAATCCACCATGATCTCCTTCCTTCAGGGGGTGGTGGGTTAGCCTTGTGGTTAAAGCGTTCGCTCGTCACGCCGAAGACCCGGGTTCGATTCCCGACATGGGTACAATGTGTGAAGCCCATTTCTGGTGTCCCCCGCCGTGATATTGCTGGAATATTGCTAAAAGCGGCGTAAAACCATACTCACTCACTCACTCCTTCAGGGGGGGGTGGGTTAGCCTAGTGGTTAAAGCGTTTGCTCGTCACGCCATAGACCCGGGTTCGATTCCTCACATGGGTGCAATGTGTGAAGCCCAATTCTAGTGTCCCTTGCCGTGATATTGCTGGAATATTGCTTAAAGCGATGTAATTCTCACTCATTACTTCCCTCTAGTCAAATCATGTCAGTTATACAGATCCGTGTTTACAAGATTGGGATTCAGCAACCCATTTTCGTCGTAAGAGGCGACTAACAAGATTAGGTGGTCGGACTTGCTGATTTGGTTTTTGCATGTCATCGTATCCTATTGCGTAGATCGGTGTTTATGAATAAATCACTGGATTGTCTGGCCCTGATTTGATTATTCACAGGTGTCGTGATATAGTTTGAATATTGTCAAGTGCAGCATTAAATAAACAAAACTATATCTGTAATACAACATGGTTGTTGCATGGACCCTACACAAGGCTTCCTTGATGATGGAAAAAAATGAAGAGGAAATGCCACTGGAGCACGCTGATAAAAACTGCTTGTGGAAGATTGGAGGTGGTACTTCCTATGGCAAAGGAAATCTGGTAATGGTTGTTAGTGTGGCCATGCTCAAGGGCAGATCCAGCATTTTCAAAAGGGAGGGGTCCAAAATATCAAAATCCTCTGTCAGTGGGGGTCCGGACCCTAAGGATCTGCCTATTATGCTGAATTCAGATGGGAAAGAAATTAAGCTGAATCGTATTAGAAAACTGACATCTGATTGGCTCTGGAACCCTCATATCCTTCCTCCAGATTGGACAGTCAAGGTGTGTTCAGGGTTCACTTGAGCTGACCTATGGAGGTGTCCAAATCTATGATTATACTGTCATTGACGATGGATGTGACTTTCATTATTGTGTCATTAAGTTAGGGTATTGAAACCTTCCAAAACACAAACTACATCACAAAACATGACAGAAGTTATGCATTTGGTGATTATGACTTATCAAACTTTCAAGATAACAGCTGTTACACCTGCCACTTTAACAAATGACAGAAAAGAGGAAATGCTTGTTTGCTTGAAAGGGAAAGTATTAGGGGAATTATATTATTAATTGTGCTCATAATATAAATCATTGCCTTGTCGGTCCAGTTTTGAATATTTACATGCCGCCATTATTTAGCTGGACTATTGCTGAGTCACATTTACAAAGGGATCAGAGACAACAACACAACTGTCTTATCTGCATAGTTTTATTCCAATTTCTGTACACAGAGTACAAAACATATCCAGCAGATGATATTAAGCTTACATCCTGTACATGGTACTTGTTGAACAAAGTTGTCTTATCCCATATATATAGAATACATTTTTGGTCAGTCTTACATTACACCAAAAAGCCATGAACAGCCAGATCTGACACCCTGGCCCCAGAACATGGATAACAGAGTCATTATCACAGACTTAAATAAATACATCCATGCTTAGTTTGGGCCAACTACAGGGTAATCATGTTTCACGTCATATAAGAATTCATGTGTATTTTGTCTTTATCGGTAAATGAAAGGAATTGATTTTAGAATATGCTTGATTTCAAATTTACATTATTATTGGAGTGTAGAGAGAAGACAATTCTGTGTATCGAATATTCAAATTAGAATTAGTTCGAGTCTTGTTGAAATTTTACCATTTTTTCCCTCAGATTTAGGCCTTGTTTCGGCAAAATTTAAGCCATACGATGTGGAACGCAAATAATTGGCTTGACATGCTGTACCCATGTTGGTAAGTTGAGGCCACACTTTTCTAATTTGATGTTTCAGGGATTTATTCCAGCTTTTTCATGCAAGGTCGGTGAAAATAAATAGCTAAGTCAATCATTTATTTATTTATATGAAAATCATTCTGCCGTGGAGTTAAAGCTGCAGCTGGCTTCTTGAATCACCGATAGTGATGTAGACATGAAATTTATATATTCTGTTTTATATTGTATAAAGGGGTCTATATTACTTGCATGAGACATAATAAAAATAAATATTTTTTTGTTTAATTTATTTCCTTTCCAGCTGTTTTTCATTAGGGGCGTTGGGCCTGTGAAACGAAAAATACAAAAATGTGTGACCTAACCTCGGTTCTTGGGTCTTGGCTTGACGAAACACATTATCTTGTGGGCCACCCGACTATGGTTCATATCATGGCTGGCTTAAGTTTCAGACAAGACTGAATCTCTGCAAACGAGTTCCATTGTGGGTTATATTTGGATGGATAAATATTTGTTTCTGATGCAAGTAAGTATGTTTACCTTGTCATGTGTACAGGAACAACACTACTGCCAAGTTAACTGGCATCTTGGGTTACTATGGTGATCATGTATACTGTGCACAAATAATTTTGTGTATACAATTAAGATTGTCAGTCTCCCGATATCACAAGTGGATATTTTATGGCACTTCACTTAGCTCTACAATTTGCTGATTATATTAAGGTTGGATATTGCTGTACATGCTATTCACGGCAAATATTTAACAGGAACATAATTTATTAAGCGGTAAATATTATTACAGGTGTGTTCAGATCTGGGTGTTCTTTGTGCGATTATCTCTCAACCAATCAGACACGAGAATAATGCTGGATGACATATTGGTTTATCGGTGTGAGTGAATCTCACATTCTGCTAGTCGTCAACTGTCCAGCATCAAATAGTGTTAATATTAATATACACATTGCACTGTCATATATTATCCTGGCTCTAGGACTACTTTTGCGCTGTCACGCTAAAAGTGAGATCTGTCGTTACTCAACATCGCGATGACTTCAGCTTTAAAAGATATTAAATTCATAAAATCAAACATTTAGTAACAAACTTGATAAATATTGGGGTATTATTCAAATAAATCCTATTATCTTGATCAGTAGGTTTCATTCTTACCATGCTTATAGGAAACAAAACTTCACTACAATAATTATATTGGTCTTTTACATAAAAACACTGGACCTATGTAGTACCAATTCCTATGGCTATTGCTGCATCAGCTGTTGTGGTACTACAACATGACAGTTCTCGAAGTACGATCATGTGACCCTCACAGCAGTTGTTTGAAGGGAGTCTGGCAAGAGACTTGTTGGTCTTTTTGGCATGACAAGCTGTCGAGGACTACAGTGCAACCTTGCAAGTCCAAAGTCGCAATCCATAGAGCGATCTTAGCGCTAAGGTAATCCCAACTCAAATACTTTAACATAGACTTGTGCCAAGATAATTTTGTTCAATAAGGATCAGTTCCCCAAAGTGATCTTAGCGCTGCGACTATCGTAAATCTATGGTATGGCACCGGACTACCATCACCTCATTGCTAGGGTCCTGTTCTACAAAGGGATCTTAGCGCTGCAACTATCGTAAATCTATGGTATGGTATGGGAATTAAAATCACCAAAGATCGCTTTATGGAATGAGGCCCAGGGTAATGTTCCCCAAAGTGATCCTAGCACTACAACTATCGCAAACCTATGTTATGGTACCGGACTACGATCACCTCTGCCCTAGGGTCCTGTTCCACAAAGCGATCTTAGCTCAATGATTACCATAAATCTATGTAGGGGAGCGCTAAGATCACTTTGAGGGATGAGGCCAGACCCTCTCACTCCATGGACTGCCATAACTTAATACCTTGATATAGACTTATGACTGTAGTAGCACTGAGATCATTTGGTGGACTGCCAGGATTGTTACAGATCAGGTTGAGAATTCAGACAATTTCTGAACCCGACGCACTGTGTCTTCACAAACTTGTATGCAAATTGTGACTTCAAAATCTCCAAGCACACCCGCCCCACACAGCCTTTCTCTGGTACAATAGAACCATCAAGGCAATGACATCCTCACACACAACCCACCCAGTTACACGTGAAAACAGGAACTGCAGGACAACAGATGTTGCAGGACATACGATATCACCTGACTCAACCATAATCTTCAAGTCTGACAACTGCAATGAAAGCAAGGAGATTCTTATTGACCCAGCTTTAAGAAAATAGTAGGTTTCTTCTAAAACTTGACACGACGGTGTCTCTCTCCCACCCTTAAATAAAGCAACATAAAGTCATTCTTCTCAAAGAGTGTGGAATTGCACTTTTCCTTGGAGAAAAAATATTATTATGCGATGAACAAAAGCACAAGCTGCTAAAACGTCTACATTGACAATCTGACGACATCCTTAGAAATCAGAAATAGCCACCTTACAATACAGAAGGGAGGTAAGTCATGACAGTGTAGGTCCCTGAAGCATTCTGCAGCAAAGAATAATTCCACAGAATTCTGCAGCAAAGAATAATTCCACAGAATTCTGCAAGACATGCTTGTGTTTTCTGTTAAAAATAAAAGAATAACAACTTTTTGTTGCAAATAAATGTTTAAAGTTCACATTAAAATTAGGAACAAATGTACACAAAATCCATTTGGATTAAAATCATCTGTAAGCCAGTCATGCCCTCCAATACAACTGAGACAATTTATACTGATTAGCACTGAAAATGGTAACAAAAGTCCTGATTGTTAAAATGTGTTTCCATGATGAAATTTCATTCATGAATGCAGACTACTGATGTGTAAGGTGTGGATTCTCTCAAGACTGAAACATAATAAGGTGTATCACTGCCAAACAAACTCAGGAAAAATCTTGGCCTGACAACTGAAATCCAGATGTCCCTCCCACTCCACCAGTCCCCAAATTCAATGGAAATAGACTTGAGGTGCACATACTGATTATTCAAAAGTGTATGAAGCATTGCAAAAATATACAATAATTTTTGTGAATCAGTAAGGATTCTGTGATGCCAAAGAGTCCTTCAGAGCCGTTACCATGGAGATCGGCAGATCCTGCTTATCATCACCCCTGATACGATCAGTAACAGGCCAACAACACCGGACAGTGCGTTCATGTGCAACTCCGATGTCTTGCATCATATACTTTCAGTGGTATAAACAATAGACACATACACTGACAGGTAAATTGTTTTTTCTTGGTGAAGAACTGGTATAATTAAATCCTCCACATGGGATATACAACAAAGAATTGAATTATTCACAGGAAGATTCTGCTGAGGCAGAACATAAAGTGGGGCAGTGGACAGGCGGCTTGGGCGATTGTTACCATTTATAACTTTTGAATTCTGATTCATGAATTAGTTTGCAATACTCTGTGTTTTGATCTCTGTTAGCTCACTACTAGAATTTCTGAGCTTCATATTTTTCATGAGAATCAGCTCCTTGTCCAGTTGACATTCTGACACCTCCTTCCCCTACCAAGAATTGACCAACTCTCCAAATCAGTCCACAGATTTCTAAACAACACTTCATGATACTGAAATAAATGCCTTTCTTGACCCACTTGAAATCTGTCCATCAGCATAATGTAGTGGGCTGAAATAAAGAAGGTGGCAGACAGCAACAGTTTGGGCAATCAACATCGAGTTTGGCGATCTATCCTCAAATCGGGGGCTAAAAAGCTTGAAAACAATTGTTTCCAAACAACTCATAAAAACAGCACTTTGTGATGACCTGGGAAGGTTGCCGTACGTCAATAAAGAATACTTGTACATGAATGTTGGTAATCCAGCTTAGGATGAAGCACATTGTGTTAATAAATATTAGATAGTTATCTGTTTATCTTCTGGGTAAAATAGACTCTTCACATGAAATAACAGGGAAGAACCACACCCCAGGAGGGCTATTTGACATGCAGCATGTGATCGGTTTATCAGCCTTGAATAAATGTGTCCGTACAAAAACAGGGACTTCCTAAAGGACCAAGTATTACCTACAAAGAGGTGTGGACTAGGGATTATCAAGACTGCTAAATGTATGACTTGCCTATGAATATCTTTGCAACACTGCCCCTCCTGAAATTCTGGTCCAACTTCATGACCTTACCCATGGGTTTTATTTCATTTAATGTATTTTGTATAATGACACATCCCCCTACAATCTATCAATGGCTGCCCAGCAGTTTTGCCTCGGGGCACCCACCTCCTGATTCCTGTCTTATTTTTTCACATCTTTCATCATGTTCATGAGATAATTGTTGACCCGGAAATATCTCAGCAGTCACTGTATTAAAAGAAGATGATTATCCTTGGTCCACTACTACACAACATCTCCCCAGCTGGGAAACAAAATAATAGTATTATCATTTGCAAACATCTTCAGTAAAACAAATGACATATATTTTCTTCTAAAATCTGTGCACCGACATGAAAACCTAAACTAAGGACTTACTTTCACTCACTCTCCGTCCACTTAACTTAATCTGCCTTTAACTCCCTTTACACAAATAGCAACCAAACACTTAAACAATTCACAACACTTAAAAGGCATTAAAACTGAAAAGAATTCAACTGGCCTGTGTCTTGGATAAATGTGATAAAAAAAAAGTCCAATTATTCTTAATAAAATATTCTAAAAAATGCCATTTTTCAGTCTTATCCTTAATTAATCTTCAGAAGGCTACCTAAAGACTATTCTAACATACATAGAACTGTTGTAAATCTGTTTAATATTCGTTTGGCACACATACAACATCACCAATCAATAGACAATCACAAGCAATCACTACGTCATCAAAGGCACAGTTCTACAGTGCAACATCAGTTGTTGAGTCATGCGAGTATGTACAGTGCTCCAGTAGATGTGGCAGATATCCACTGATATCAGGACAAACATGACATCCTGAGGACAAGATACATTCGGAGACTATACATAATTAACTCATCTTCCTACAACGAAACATTATGTTCAAATAGCTGTAGAATATCATTTCAAATATAAGGTACACATGTCAGATTTGTGTAGAGAGAGCAGGTATGTCTCAATATTGAACACAGTACTGATACCAGATTCAGGTTTGAGGCAGATCACTGATATTAAAGTTTGTTCCTTGTTTAACGCCGCACACAGCAATATTCCAGCTATATGACGGCAGCCTGTAACTAATCGAGTCTGGACCAGACATCGTAAGCAACGATCCACGCCGCCGGGGTACGATGACATTCAATCAAACAAGTCACAAAGTCCGCCCACCCGATCCATTTCGTCACCTCTTACAACCAGAATAGGTTGCTGGGGACCTCTAGTAACCCGGAATGCCCAAAGGGGTATTAAGGCTAAAAAACATTATAGTCTTGGTTCTCAGACAGCATCTGCATCATCATAAAGTCCGCTGCACATTTAATATTTATTTCCATAAATCTTTAAATATTACGAGTCTCGAACACACAACCCCAGCTGTGAAATGCTACAATACTTAAGAACAACATCATTTCGCCGAAATTAATGTAAACAAAATTTAGTTACATACTAGCTTGAACACACCCCCTACCCCAACCCCCCAATAAACAACAACAAAAACCCGCCCACACACACTATATTTTCTAAAGCCATTGCCTGAGAACCAATTCTTTTATTTTTTTAAGCCTAATAGAAAATATCTGGTCACAATATCTGAAATAGAAAATCTTTACCTAAACATACATTCTGGAACTGATTAACATTAATGAGAGTGAGTGAGTGAGTAAGTTGGGTTTTACGCCGCTTTTAACAGTATTTCAGTTATATCACAGCGTGTCAGCTTAATGTGGGAGGAAAGCCCAAAGTGGTGCAGGTCTCAGACGTTTACCACTTAAGTGAAACCCACGAGCACGGGTATGGTGCTGACAAACCTAGAAACATAATCGGGGCGAACCGGGATTCGAACCCACAATCATAGGTTTCTGGCATGCCCAAGGGACGCAACTCTGCACAGCGAATCGCGGCGCCTAAGACGACTGGGCCACCCGTGCCCCCTAATATTAATGAGAATAAACTGATTAGTAACATCAATGAAAATGACAAACCATGTGTCCCCATGAACTGAATGCCTTGAGTGAGCGAGTGAGTTTGGTTTTACGCCGCTTTTAGCAATATTCCAGCAATATCACGGCGAGGGACACCAGAAATGGGCTTCACACATTGTACCCATGTCGGGAATCAAACCTGGGTCTTCAGGGTGAGGAGCGAACGCTTTAACCACTAGGCTACCCGACCGCCCCACTGAATGCCTTGACACAACAGGTTAGTAACAGTAGTTTCCTTGACACCACAAGGTGGGCCATACACTGTCAACTTAAGACAGTTCAGCCGACAGCGATTACTAGGTGCAACCTACATTCTTCATCAAATTAGCCGAAATCACTAACAGCGTGTGACAACATATTACCCCATTTTTTCTATCTACTTTGGCACCAAAGATAATATGACCAAAAATTTAACCTGAGAAAGATAATCCAATTATGCAGGTAATAAACAGAAACTATTTTTAGCAATATCAATTGAATACACAGAAGACTAAAATTTTCAAAACAAATTATTTTTTTTAGATCACAACATTTCAATGTTTAAATCTGATGTTGGCGAAAAAATAAAATGTATTACTTGGCAGTAGCATAAAAAGTCTCAACCAGAGGATAATTCTTGGACAGAAACTGCTGCTACAGGGAAAAGGCAGAAACAAGACAGAATGCAAATTATTATAGTAAAATGGAAAACATATCTGATTTGTCACTTATTTTGACATTTTAAGTTAAATTTAATAGAGGGCATCCATTGTACTTCGACCATGTAGTGGCTTGTTCAAGGGCGTAGCTGAAGTTCTGGGGCATAGCTGAAGTTCAAGGGCGTAGCTGAAGTTCAAGGACATGGCCTCTATTCATGGATTTATGGCAATCAAGCATACCACCCATTAACCATCTTACGTTACTTTCACAATTATGTTATTTACTTTGCTTAAGGATCCAAAATTCAAATTTTGATAAATTTTCACAAATTTCACAATCATGCAGTCTGTAAACATATTACAGTAATGAAAGAAAATTTAAGTTATGTTTAAATTATATTAAACTAGAAATCATTTTCACTTCTTTATTTCAACATTTTTTTAGAGAATGTTTAATGTTAATTTCTATTATTTAGTTTGCTCTTGTGCCAAAATTTCAAAGATGTAGATTTTTCTCTCTATATTTCACCTTACTGACAATACCTCAATGAAAAAGATTTTTTCAAACATTTCCTTATGTTTTAAGAAAATAAATCTGCTAATTAAGTGATTAAGAAAATAAGACCTTAAGTATGTGATGAAAACTCAAAGTCCATTGCAGCTATACAACGACAGGGCACAAAGAACGGTTTACATATACCCAAGTGGAGAAGTTGAACCCAGGCCTAAGTGAGACAAGCTAACACATAACCCTCTACCCTACCATTGTAGATCCTCCTCTTTTACAGCCCAATACAGATGTGAATCCTCACCATAATGGGTGTTCTTGACAAATGAAATAAATATATGTTTCATATTTCAGGGCAGCTAGATGTGTTCCTCTGGTTTCAGAAAGTGATATTGGGGCATAATGGTTATGATGCTTTTTCCTCAGCAGATAAAAACCTTGAAATGTTAATGATGCTCTTAATAAAACATGACTAAAACAATCGGAGAATCACAAATACATAATTTCAAAAGACAAACACACAGTTGGAATTGTTGATTAGTACAAGTACTGTACAATGACATACAATTTGCAGTTCATACTTGGAGCATGAAATGGCCTCAACATTCAAGTCCTAAACAAGCCTGGCAACCTCTCGTCTCATTATTGCCATGGTGACAAACAAAATGACCAGATTAAGTATAGGGGAAACTACTTACTAAAAGGACGATTCTCATTCATACACTGACTGTATTCTCCATACCCCATACCTCTCTCCACATACCAAGGGTATGCACTCAGTAGCAGCACACTTCAATAGTGATAACTTATCTGTACACAAACATGACGCAAACAGTGATGACCCTAGGTCACTGATCAATGCTAACTTTACATTATATACAATATAATACAATAAGAATCACTCAACATGGTGAAAAACACCATTACTCCATAAAATTGTCCATATTATTTGAATTATCCTATGTTAAAATGTCTAGTTAAGAGTTAAAGTGCTAGATCGGCTTGTATAACAAGGTTGTCACATATTTCTTCCTAAATCTGTGGGTAGCGCTTAAAACCATCACACCATCCTGGAAAGAAAAAAATACATTTTATTACACAAATAGATATGATTAATTCACATATAATTTTTTTTAAACAATTTTACAAAATAAGATATCTAATAGAAAAGCATTTGGAACAATAAGGACAATCTATTATAAGCCACAGGGGCTGTAATTGGCTTACTGAAATAAACTAATCTAAAATGATGAGAACTTTGACATTTACAAAAATTAATGTTTTCTTTCTATCAGTTCCATGGATCGATCAACTTTGACAAGGGTAAGTACAAAGCTAAAATTTTGCTAAAACAGGAATTTTAAAGTTCTAAAGAAAACTATTTATAAACAAGATTGTGGCAAATGTTGAAAGTAATGTACTGGACTGTATCAAGTCGATCCTACAGGATTGTACCGAGTTTATTCCTACAGGAATGTACTTAGTCTAATCCCACAGGCCTGTACTGAGTTTACCTCTACAGGAATGTACTGAGTTTAATCCTACAGGCCTGTACTGAGTCTAATCCTACAGGCCTGTACTGAGTTTAATCCTACAGGCCTGTATTGAGTCTAATCCCACAGGCCTGTACTGAATCTAATCCCACAGGCCTGTACTGAGTTTAATCCTACAGGAATGTACTGAGTATGCTGCTTACCTTTATTGATAAGGCATAAAGATGGTTGAGCATCACATGATTGGGCTCTGGCAGTAAAGTTGGCTCACACTACAACACAAACAGTATTCTCTGCAAATGTACAAACAGTTTGTAAATTTTCCTAATAAATTGTACATTTATATACTTATCCTATCTCACACAATGTATTTCATCTTATTCTTCAATGTAGGTGTGGAAACTACCTCGGACAAAGTGTTTCTGAAGCTGGAACGTTTCCACACCAAGATCGATGAATAAGAAGAAATGCATAGTGTGAGATAGGATAAGTTTAAAAATTACCGTTTTAGGGTGGGAATGTTACACATATTGTTTATTGTTAAATGCCCCAGTCAGCGTTATTCCAGCTTTCTCAAGACAGTCAGTATATGATCAAGTCTGGACCATATATCAATCCAGTGATTGATATTGTGAGCAACGATCCACGCTGTCGGGTAATGACAACACACAATCAACCAAGTCACCTGACAACACAATCCATTTGGTCGCCTCTTACGACCAACTTAGGTTGCTGGGATCAGAGGTCCCCACGGGACTTGTACCAAGTTCCGTCCCTGGAAACACCAGGGTTCTTTGTCACACCATCAGCCTGGTCACATTGTAACCAACTCATCCTCATAGCTCTCAAGTCAACCAAGCATACACCTATGCACTTCTTCATCTTAGCAACAAACCCGTCAAGATCCGGGTTACAATAGGTCCTCAGCAACCCATGCTTGCCATAAAAGGCGACTCTGCTTGTCGTAACAGGCGACTAACAGGATCCGGTGGTCAGGCTCGCTGACTTGGTTAGTGCATGTGATCATATCCCAATTGTGTAGATAGCTGCTCATGATGTCAATCACTGGATTGTCTGGTCCAGACTTGATTATTTACAGACCGCCGTCATATAGCTGGAATGTTGCTGAGTGCAGCATTAAACAACAACTCATCTTAGCAATAGACTTAAAATTCACAACAGTTAGTGTTGCCCACATAAACTTTTACCAGCAGTCATCCTAAAGACAACCAAGGGTGTTCCGTGAGCCTATTCTGGGCCGCCAACTGGTTACTTGGAAGGCAACATCTACACTTCAAACAATAGTAGTCTATCAGAATGCTCAGAGGCCAATATTTGGCCCAAAGTCTGCAGAGAATGCCAGTAAATATTCCCAAATGAGAATAAAATATTTCCCAATTCTTGCTGATAGTTATAAGTAAAGTAATGACTTTACTTGTATTTCACTGACAACAGGCCAAATAAATAGGAAGAGGCTCTGATGGTTAATTTAACTTCATTGCATTAAGTGCAATGTTAAACCAATTTTCAATTTTGAACAAACTTCAAGTGTTCTCTTAATTTGTTTGCCTAGAGTACTTAGTTTGAAATCTTTGCCTTGAGAACATTTCACTAATTTGAACATTGTGAAGTGAATGAGTGAGGTTTAACGCCGCTTTGAACAGTATTCCAGTAATATCACGGCATGTCAGCTTAATGTGGGAGGAAAGCCCGAAGTGATGCATGTCTCAGACGTTTACCACTTTGGTGAAACACACGAGCACGGGTATGGTGCTGACAAACCTCGAAACATAATCAGGGCGAACCGGGATTCAAACCGAGAACCATATGCTTCTGGCGAGTCCAAGAACACAACCCTTCACAGCTAATTGTGAAGCCTAAGACGACTGGGCCACCCCTGCCCCTCAGTGTTAAGTGACAATAGCTTACATGAGCTGGGGTATCTTTGTTGAGAATGACTTGAAGAAGCTGTGGGGGTAAGATGGGGGGACCAGGTTGTTTGATGTCTGTTCTCCGTACAGGAATGTCTTGACCGTAATCAGTTGGAGGCGAACCTGTGTCAGGAGTTTCTTCTGCAAAAAGTCAGGGTTTTTTTCAAACATTTCAAATCTTCATATGTTGCAACACATCAAGCGAGACAAAAGGTTAACTCTGATTCTTCATTTGACCAACATCAACATGATAAACATTATTAATCACTTTCACAATCAAGCAGTAAGTCTGACAGACGCATTTAAATTACTTGTGCGAGATAGGCAACAAATTACATTGAGTGCTAAACAGACAAATTACTTCTGGTGCTAGATAGACAAATTACTTCTAGTGACAGAGAGACAATTAGGACACACAAGTACTCACGATGTTTGCGGGAGGTATTGGTTGTCCTACTATCAATCGCTAGTGCTTCAAAAACTTCAAAATCTGTCTTTTTTACTTTCACAACATTATTTAATGTACCCATTTCATTATTTGATGTAGGCTGAAAAGAAAAAACAAGATATCACCAACAAGCCAAAATCAACACATAAAGGTTAATCTGCTAGATCAAAGGGGGACAACTCCATTATGACTCAAACATTTGCAGACGTCATAGTTCCACTCAGACATCAAATATTTCATTGATTGTCTCTAGTTGTCTCTTAGATGTTTGTTTGTTTGTCGTTTATCGCTGCACTCAATATTCCAGCTTTATTATGGCTGTCTGTAAATAATTGAGTTTGGACCAGAAAATCCAGTGACTGACATCATAAGCAACAATCCATGCAATTGGGATACGATGACATGCATCAACCAAGTCAGTGAGCCTTACCACCCTATCCCATCAGTCATTTTCTTATGACAAGCATAGTGCCGGATCTTTACGAGTGTCTAAGAATAATTATAAACTCTTCAAAAACAAAAGAAACAGAATTCTCTATATTTATTGACTAGGCAATAAGCTTGAGTCTGACACATACATATGCAAAGGATTATTGTATTTTATGTGATCAAAATATTTTCAAATCTCATTATCACTGAATTGTCTCAACACAAACACCACCATACTGCAAGTCAATTCAGTCCATGTTTGCGTGAATCATTCACAAAGCAATACATTAACTCAAAATTCAAATGTCAAGTTTAGCTAATATTTAAACAGCTAATATATTGTGAAATGTCAGGGTTCACCCCCATGGGGATTCCGGGTGTTGGTAGGTCCTCAACAACCCATCTCCCCAAGGCAAGTGAGTTAACTGACCATTAAAGTCCAATTTCCATCCTTGCCAAACTATGCTGGAATTATGGAGTTATATTTTGGCTGGACTAACGAGTCTATGCATAGTCCAATCAAAATTGTGTAATGAAATCGACAACCGGTTCGTAAACTGTCATGCAGATTTTGGTCTGTGAATGTGTACCGCCAACTCAGCGTCTACAGATATTTTCCAATCGTTTCATGTTTTTAATCAAGTGTATTGATGCACTTCGCGAAGTGAGACCCGTTTTATCACAATACAGATTTTGAATAGCTACAAGATTGTCTGGACTGGGTGCCGCCATCTTGTTTGAAGCAAATGCAAGTGATATGTGAGGTGGAATCTTATATGTCAATAAGAGGAACAGAGAAAAATGTAACTTGTAATAGACGCTGGTAGCGCTACAATCAAGCCCATAAATTCCAGCCTAGTTCGGCAAGGGTGGAAACTAGACTTTTACAGTCAGTTAACTCTCTTGCCTTAGGAAGATGGTACCACCAATGCTTGTTGTAAGAGGCTACCAAGTGAATTGGGTGGTCAGACTCGGTGACTTGGTTGATGGTGAGTCGGAAGGAATGGATCATTTCTCACACTATCTATCACTGGACTGTCTATGACAGACCATCTTCCAAAGTCAAGAGAGTTAACTGACTGTAAAAGTCCATCTTATCGATAATCAAAGTCTAAATTGTGATAAAACGGTTCTTAGATCACAAAGTGCATCAAATCACGTGAGCACCTTGATTAAAAACATGAAAAGAAAATATCTGTTGATGAGTTGACAGTGCACATGCTTTGCAAATCCTGCAATCAACCAAAATCTGCATTACAGTTTACGAACCAGATTTCAATTTCGTTGCGCGATTTTGATTGGACTATGCATAGACTCGTTAGTCCAGCCAAAATGTAAATCCATAATACCAGCATAGTTTGGCAAGGGTGGAAACTGGACTTTTATAGTCAGTTAACTCTCTTGCCTCGGGAAGATGTTGACAGAGTTGATTATTTAAAAGCCGCCATCATATAGCTGAATGCACCATTAAACACATAACAAACAACAAAAACTGTCTCTCGATATGTGGAAGGGAGTCTTACCTCATTAGGATTATGAATCCACTGACCGTCGACATAGAACTTATACTGGTGATCGCCTTCTGGTAAGTCTACTATTGTATAAAAATCACCATGGCTGAAATGGAAAAATGGGAAACAGTACAAGAACAAATTAAACTGGAGCATTTTTTCTGATACAAATTGAAGGTGAAGGCAAGGCAATGTATTTCTAACCTTCTGTTTTCTAACCTTCTAGTTTGTTTGTTGTTGAAGGCCACACTCAGCAGTATTGCAGCTAAATGGCGGCAGTCTGTAAATAAACAAGACGGGACCAGACAATCCGGTCATTGACATCATGAGCTTCGATCTACGCACCTGGGATACAACGTCATGCATCAACCAAGTCAGCGAGCCTGACCACTTGATCCTGTTAGTAGCCTTTTACGACAAGTATGGGTTGCTGAAGACCAATTCTAACCTGGATCTTTACTGGTAATTGGTCAGAAGTATAAATGCAATGTTCAAAATTACTTTGAGTAACTTGTGTGCAGTAATCATGTTTATCAAAGTCCATCATGAAGTGGATCAGCACTTCATCATATTGCATTCTATGAAAGATAAACATGATCTTCATCATGCTTACTCAACTCCACTGAACATTACATCAGTGTGTCTCTTTCTGATTTTACCTGGTTTCCACAACATTACTCATTGCATATATCAACATCAGAATATTTAATCAAACTTCTTACCTTTTGACTAAAGGAATTCTAGATTTCCAGTTGTTAAAACTACCGGCTATATACACATCTTTCCCCCCTCCTTCCCACTTGATGACTGTCGGGAGAGCACGGCCTGCCGTCGAAAGTGTCGGGTCACCCCCAGGTGTGATTGTGCTTGAACGTACTCGCTGAAACATAACGCAACAAAACATTAGATTTCTTGGCAAGAATTTATGAAGTCCAAGTCCAATCAACTGTTTTAACACATGCATATCAAGTGTTACATTGTTGTTATTAGTAGTGCTGACCCAGCATCACCACCTGACCATTTGATCATGACTCCACTTGATGATGACAAAAATGTCTCATTTTGATCAAGGCAGGGTCTCTGTTTGATCATGGCTATGTATCCATTTCATTAGGAAAATGTCTATTTGATCATGTTTAGACAATTGTGAGTCCATTATACTTATCATGCATACAATACAATTTATTACAAGTAGTTTTTGCATTTGAAAGACAATGAAAACAGTATATAATATATATATGTATACATGACCATGAAACTGGTAATATTTACCATGCCACATGCTATGTAGATAAGCACAGGTACAATGTTATAGCAGCAGCAGCAGCAGCTAACACATACCAGGTAAGGGACGAGTTCAAAAGTTTGATGTTGAAGTCTGGAGTCATGACTTCTTTTGTCACACATATTGGTGTCTACCACTGCTTTTTCCGAACATTTATCGACTAAATTCTTGAGTGTTGAAAGGTTTGTATAGGTCAAATCGGCCATGCTGTATAAGCACTGCACTAGATGGACAATAAAACCCTACCTTGTGGAAGACTGGATGTATTTAGGACAATTTTTCTACATCATGTGAATGAAAAATGGATCGTTTTAGTTTGAGAAAGGTAAGTTGATCTTGTCGGCGGGAAAACTTGCAGGACCATTAACCCCTCACCCCCAAACTTAAGGAATTAAGATATTTATCCAACATCAAAAGTTTGAACTGGTCCCAAAGTGAAGGATCAGTTGATGTGGCTTGTGTTGGTATTGAATACTGCCCAATCTGTACTTTGTGGCTTAGTGGGGGTGTAAATGGCATATTCACTGTCCATATAGATCTGAGTGAGTGAGTGAATATGGTTTTACACCGCTTTTAACAATATTCCAGCAATTTCACAATTGGGGACACCATTGTACCCATGTGGGGGAATCGAAACTGGGTCTTCGGCGTGAAAAGCGAACCACTAGGCTACCCAACCACCCTCCACATAGATCTGAATAACCATGCTTAAACCAGGATTTCACTGATCACTCTGAATGTGAATCCAAACCAATGAACCTGACAACTACAGGTCATCATGCAAAATGATAGGAAAATTATACATCAACCATGACATAGTTTAAGTCAGAGAAATAATTTGACTCTGCTAATTCCAGAAGTAGAATCAACAGGCTTATTCAGGGCTCATAGAACCTACTTCCAGAAACAACAGCTTCTCTTGACTACAACTGCCACCATACTGGTTCACTCCTACAGTTGTTCTCCTTGTATACACATAATTTCAAACAAGTCAAACTATACCAGGGAAACAAGGATGTGAATACTAACCAGATGATACATGCTGTTGCCATGGTGATCAGGCTACAGTCCACAATACACATGACTTTATCATGATGGTCACATAAATTGTGTCAAAAACAAAATATTTTTCATGAAAAGTCAAGTCTGTTTAAACACAAAGTCACATCTCATGTATCGTTCATTTTTTATATTAAATGGTCTTGAAATAAATGTGGCTGTATCTCCACGCATCATACTTCAGAGACCAGAACACAAAATAGCCAGGGAATGAGATCCTTTCTTCTTTAAGTGGCATTTAGAGGTTGGTGTGATGAAGTAAGACAAGTTCTATGGATGAACAACTTCTTTATTACAATTAGTGCGACGTTTCGGTGTAGATCCTAACACCTTTATCAAGCAAGTGATCACTCGATAAAGGTGTTAGGATCTACACCGTAACGTCGCACTAATTGTAATAAAGAAGTTGTTCATCCATAGAACTTTTCTTACTTTAATGAGATCCTTAATTGTCCAGTGTAAAACATCACCATAATTATGATAAATAGTATGGACCGTTTTGCTGCCATAGCTTCGTTTTGACATGTTAAAAGTCTAATTCATGTGAGAATGCTGAAAATAGCTGACGTAATTTATCACACATATGTGCAAGAGAGACACACTGTCACTGCTAATCAAGTGCTATGACAGCAAGAGTGTGAGTGAACAACATGAACAAGGGAGTTGGGTTTAACACCGATTTGAACAGTATCACGGCGTGTCAGCTTAATGTGGGAGGAAAGCCCAAAGTGATGCAGGTCTCGGACGTTGACCATGTTAACCACTTTGGTGAAACCAAGCATGGGTACAGTGCTGACAAACCTACACACATAATTGGGTTGAACTGGGATTCGAACTGACTCTGGTCAGCAAACTGCAACAAGGCCACCCATCTCCGGGCAACCACACAGGTGGTATCTCCAGGCTGTCCCTCTATCCGATACACCATGGAGGCGGTAGTTGTACAATCAACAGGGCTCCATCTTGTCATTGATCTAAATGCTACTCAAAGCCATCTTAACCATCCAATCACCATTTAGTCACCATGTACATAAACACATAAACATGTTAAGCTTAAGTGTGCACCTGTTAAGTCCCTGTCCAGCATGCAAGCCCTACAGTCAATGATCTGCACTCACCACAATCTACATACCGCAGTAAGTATATATACCACGGAACTTTTGATATGATTATTTCTGTTATTTGTTGATTTATACAGAATTGTCCCTATCAAAAGTTGAGTGGTATATAATATAAGGAACCAAAGTTCAGGACTCCCCAATTAGACACAATGCCCTTTGTGAGTACATAGTATCTGGTTGACTATCACCTCATATTTTGGTGTTGTTTTTGACAGAAATGGTAGCAGTCTGCAAATGTATCACCTCGTCTGAAGCCTGAGTCCAGTAACATTGTGTTTGGTCCAGCAATAATAGTCCATATTTAACACTATAATCTACTGAAAATGATGCTTAGACCCAGGTTTAGACTGGTAGGCCACATGACATTTGCTTTCACTGGGTATGAGAATATTTTCTTTAACAAGTTGAATACGCAAGGTTACCATTGTTAACTGACAGAAACTTGAAAAGCCAGTGGTTTACATTTCTTCTAGCCGTGAGCAGATGATAGACACCAGATGTAGGTGTGGTCAGTCCATAAATATCTCAGCACTATTCACGAATATTTTATAACAGTACAGTTGCTCCTTTTTTTCAAATTGATTTAAGGATTTTTCCCTATAGCAGTTAGGCAGGAAAAAATGATTAAATAATTAAATTAAATATTTAAATTCTGACATGACAAGGTACGATACCCAGATGTGGATGGAGATACTACCCCAAACTGTCAACACTGCTTTGTCACGTAAATCATTGCAGAAGTATTCCCTTCAGCACAGTGGTGAGTTTTCATGGTAAAGTTGTTGCGCTATTGCATTACAAAATTCTAGAAATCTTCTTTCTATTCGGATATACAAAAGTCTTTCAAATCAGTTTTTATTTTTATTCTTTTTTCCCCCCAATTTCTCAGTAATTTGAGTTGGAGGACTGAACCACTCTCCACGACAAAAGGCTTATTTCTTATGGTGTGTCAGCCTGGTGTAGGGGGTACATCAAATGTGATGTTAGACATTTACCACTTTGGATGGGTATAAAGGGGTATAAGGGGATAAGAGTTATAAGGGGTACAAGACTGATCACAATTTGATTTCACTCAGGCTTCGGACTAGTGGCTCGCTAACTGCTGAAGAAGCTATTTCAAGGAGTCAGCACACAGCCCCACAATAATATGACTTGAATATATAGCACAAACTGACAAACAATTTATTATAAGTTATGACATACAGTGGTTACCTAGCAACACTGAAAGCCATGACAACCCACTGAGGGTTGTACGAACTTGCCTTCTTGGCCATGTACATGGCCCTCTTTCTCCGAGGGGAATTATCCAGACCACAGAGTAGGCTACAGTGCTGCACACTGACTATTCTGGTGTTCACACGAACCTACAACACGGCACACCACTGCACTAACAAAACACTACCATCATTGACAGTAGTGTCAGGAGTGTCATTCATTGGAAATTTAAATAGCAATATATCAACTCAAAAATATCCTGATATATTGATAATAAAATTAGTATTGTGCATGTGTATAGATCAAATTTAACAATATGGACCAACATTTTAAAAAATAAATATGAACTAGATTTATCCATCACAAGTTCAAAATTGAAGTTTCTGCCTTTTCATTGTCCATGTGCATAGTAATCGCAATAAACATAACCATTTCTGCGGCTGTAAATCTTTACTTACTGGTAAGAAACAATATTCAAAACATTATATCGATACAGCATCAACATTAAAAATGTATTGATACACCAATAATGCGATATATGCTACTCAAAAGAAGTCAAAGAACACTTGACTCTTTCATATTAGTAATATAAAAGAATCTGGTGTTCTTTAACTATTTTTGAGTAGTATACAATGACATTGCTATAAGCATCAAAAGTGTCATTTGTGTAATAACAGACCCACTTACAACATGTACAATATTGAAATATGTGCATCAGAGTGCTTGGTTCTGTACTCAAGAATAAACAACATATATCTGATCTCATGTTGGATAATGCAAAATACATGCAATTTAAAGAACTTCATATAAAGAGCACTGGGTGCACGTTGACATAAAAACCAGACAAAGACAGGTTGCATCCAATAAATTTATCAACTTGAAACAAAGACATGACTGATGCATTCATTAACTAGTCTGAATAAATTAAATCTCTCAGACTACTGATGACTGTGTCGTGATTCTATATCTATTAATAACGTATTGTTGTAAAACATAATAAAATAATGTGCACACAATCTTGCAGTACCCCCAGTTTGGTGACGTCAAGCCCAAGAAGGCATGACTAATTACAAATAGTGGGATTAGTGATGTCTTGTTTGTTTGTTGTTTAACGCCCCACTCAGCAATATTCAAGCTATATGGCGGCGGTCTGTAAATAATCGAGTCCGGACCAGACTATCCAGTGATTGACATCATAAG